GCAGCTTTAGTCACCTGCAGAAGAGGGGAAAAGATCTGTCTGTGGCATTTGGTGTTTGTGCAACACTTTGTGCAGCTCTAACTTGCTCTGCACCTTTAACTTACTATTTATATATTGCCTTTGGATTCTGGAAGCTTCTAGGGGGCTTCTGCAGATGCTGTGTCCCACTGGCTGCTTCCTGAGTGATAGATTCTTGATTTGAAAGCAGCTGAATGTTCAGTAATTCTCTGCCTGCTGAGAGGGAGTGCTGGACTGGGCTTTGCCTGCTCTGTCAGGACATTGCTTCCACTGGGAGATGAGAATAGAGCAAGCAGAGCTTTTGGTCTTGTGTGTGGGTGCTGGGGAATGGCAGAAACTCTCCTCTCAGCAGTGGGGACAGCCCTGAGGGCAGTTGCTGAAGGTCCTGACTTGTGACAGCAGGAGAAATATTACTTGTCCCTGCTCAGACCTATATGCAGAGAGTTGCTCTGAGCCCTCATAGCCATGGGAGGGGAGCAGAGGCTGTTAAGGAAACCTTCAGAGCCAGCTGTGACCTGCTGGAGCATCCCCAATTGTGGAAGCACTTCCAGACTCCCTTCTGTGGGGAATAAAGGAACTTGTCTCCTGACCAGACACACTGTCCCAGGAGCTTTGCTCTTTGGGAGTGTCCAGGTGCTGGGTGTTGAAGAGAGATGGTCAAGCCTCATCCAGCCTCAGGGAATGGATGGGAGGATGGTGAAAAGGGAAAGGAGAAAGGGAGGGATTTGTAGTCTCATCTGTAGTGCTGCCTTTATTTCATGGAAAGAATGTCAACCACAGGACCATGTACCCTCCCCGTAGCTGAGCTGAGCCTGTGTCCAGTCATGAAGAAGAAAGCCCACCTGGCTACTTAGTTGGCATTTTGTCCTGTAGTAAATCATTTAAAATCATGGATGTGCTAGAGATGAAGAACATCTCCCATATACCAGTTCAGCACAGATGTGACATTTCTTTATTGTAAGTGACCCTACTTCTGGACATCTGTTAGAGAATATTGTGCATTGCCATTATGGGAGGCTGTTCTTGGCCTCCCAGCCACAATGACAGTGACACCAATGAATTCTTCTTTAAGAAACCAAGAGACATCTCAAGACCTGCCCTTGTCCTTGTGGAGGAATTCACCTGGCCAGGTGTTAACTGGCAACCCCACACAGCTGAGTTAACAGGGCACAGGAGATTCCTGAAACACCTGGGTGACAACTGCTTGGTACAGGGGCTCAGGGAGCCGACTCACAGAGGTGCCCTCTGGGATTTGTTGCTTATTCCCAGAGAGGCTCTCGAGGGTGAAGTGGCCATTGGTGACTGTCTTGGCCACAGTGACTGTGCAGCCGTCGAATTTCCCATCTTCTGGTGGTTCTCCTGCTTCCATCTTGCTCCTGAGATGGACCAGGCACAGGCGAGCATGGCTGGAAAACCAGCATCTTTTATTAATGTGTCCACGGCGAAGCTGCTGTCCCAAAACAGGTTCTTTTACCCATTGTACAAGAAGCCAATCCCCACACACAGAGTTAAAGTATTTCATTTATTTATTTATTTCAGTTCTGCACAGAAAGGGGTGCTGGGTGGCAAATTCACAGGGCCAGAACACCTATCAAAAGTTTTCCCTATATATACATTTTATCAAACAAGGTATTAATGTTCATTGGCTACAAATATATGTTCCTCTCATTAAATTAATATAGTAAATATTTTCTTAGTAATAATAACAATTAAATAATAATTAAATATTATCCTCAACAGAAATCTTAATTAAAAATTATATCATTATTTCTTACTAATAATTTTAAATTGTGTATTATTTTCATATCTTCTTATAATATTGTTATAATTTTATTGTTCTTCATGAAAATACTACCTTACTCTAATACATTAAATAATTAAGAATTAATTAAGAAATATTATTAATCTAATTGAACATACTACTTCATATTCTATCTTCTATCGGTTAAAAGATTTCCTCCCTTCTTATGCTCATTAGCTTTCTACACCCCGCTTAGGTCTGGGATCACTGAAGCCTGCCAAGTCCTAAACCTGAGCCAGGCAATTCTACCAACAAGGGATTGATCCTTCTAAGGCCTGGCCATCCAGGCCAGCCCGTGCAGCTCCCTCAGGGAGCTGTGCAGGCTCCAGGTCAGCTCTCATCTCCGGGGCCCGGCCTGGTGCTGGCAGTGGGCACTAATCCTCCGGCCGTCCCGCCATGCAGGGGATCCGGAACAGCCGGCGCAGAGCCCGGAGCACCCGCCTGGAGCGGGAGGGACGTTTCCTGGGGACCTGGCTCTCTGTGTCTGCCTCTGGCACCTGCTCTCTGGAGCCAGGAGAAGCTGCTGCCTGTGCTGACCCCTGGGGAGCAGGGTGAGGGTCCTGCAGGAGCTGTGGGTGCTTGGGGTTGACCCAGATGGTGCGGATGGTGATGTATTTCCACAGTGTCTCTTCCCTGGCGAAGGACCACTGCTCAGTCTGTGGCCCTGGCAGCTCTGGCCCCCCCACTGCCCCCTCCCGACAGTGAGGTGAGGGGCTGGGGGGGCAGCAGGGGCTGTGTGGGGCAGGGCCCGGGCTCTCTGCCCCTGCTGCCTTCACCCGCTTCCACGAGGCAGGAGAAGCTGCTGCCTGTGCCGACCCCTGGGGAGCAGGGTGAGGGTTCTGCAGGAGCTGTGGGTGCTTGAGGTTGAGCCAGATGGTGTGGTTTGGGATGTGTTCCCAGTTCTCCTGCAACAGCTCTTGGTAAATGTTGTCTCCCTCTTGGGACAATACTGGGTCTCCTCTGGCTCTGACTTCCCCTTCAGACAACTCTGGGTCTACTCTCACTTCCCCTTCGGACAGCTCTTCCTCCATGGAGCCTTGGCAAAGTGCTTGGCAAAGCACTTTGTCACTGTCATCTTCTGCTTGGGACAGCTCTTTGTCTCTCTTGCCTTCCCACTGGGACAGCTCTTGGACTTTCACATCTACCCCTGGGGACAGTTCTTGGATTGTCTCACCTTCCGATTGGGACAGCTCTTGGATTCTTCGATCGTTGCATTGGGGCGGCTCTTGGACTTTCTCATCTCCCCATTGCAGTGCTTCTTGGTACCTCTCAAATTCCCATTCGAACAGCTCATGGACTCTTTCCTCTCCCCATTGCAATGCTTCTAGGTATCTCTCAAATCCCCATGGGGACAGGTCCTCATATTCCACATCTTCCCATTGGGACAGCTCTTGGATTTCCTCAGCTTCCCACTGGGACAGGATATTGTCAGGTTGGGAGTTGGGGTTCGCCCTCTCCTTGAGCATCTCCATTGTCCTCTGCCTCAGAGGCTCTCGGGGAGCTGCTGCCTCCTGAGTGAGGTGCTCTCTGCACAGGGGACACCCCAGGGCTCTGCACCCCTTCAGTGCCCCCCACCCCCGGTGTCATAATGGCCTCTGGGCACGACGCGGCCCCCGTGTCACAAAGGGCCACCCCTGGCACCCCAACAACCATGGAACTGGCTGGAACCACCTGGAACCAGCTGGAACCTGTTGGATCCTCCTGGAACAGGCCTTGTCTGGCTCTGGGCAGCCCCCAGACCTGCAGGCCCTGGTGTGCCCAGACCCCTGGGAGGCTTTTGACACTGTCTCACACAACATCCTGATCTCCACATGGAGAGTCATGGGTTTGGAGGGTGGGCTACTTGGGGGATGAGCAACTGGATGCAGGGATGCAGCCAGAGAGTTGTGGCCAGTGGCTCCTTGTCCAGGGAGAGGCCAAGGATGAGGGGTGTCCCTCAGGGCTTGGCCTTGGGACCAGGGCTCTGGAATGTCTTTACCAGTAGCACAGACAGTGGGATTGAGCTCAGACTCAGCACGGTGGCAGGTGACAGGAGGCTGAGCAGGGCAGGTGAAATAAATAATAAAGGATGGAGCCATCCAGAGGGACATGGACAAGCTTGAGAAGTGAGACCATGAGAACCTCATGAGGTTCAGCAAGGCCAAGTGCACAGTGCTGCACCTGGGTCGGGGCAATCTTAGAATCCCAGAATCATCCAGGTTGGGAGAGAGCAGCAAGTCACCCAGTACCACCATCATCACCCCTAAACCATGTCCCTGAGTGCCACATCCACCCCCATGGCTGGGCACAGGGGAGCAACTCGGAACTGCTCTGTGGGCAGGTGCACAACAGGGACATGCTGTGGGAAATCAAAACATGGTGGGACAGCTCACACAACTAGAGCTCTCCAGTGAAGGCTCATTAGGAAATGAAGGGCTCATTAGTAAAGACAGAGAGGGAAAATTTGGAGGAGAATTTTCCTTTATGTGAAGAAGCAGCTTGAACACATGGAACTGTTGGGCAACACATGGAACATATGGGCAACGTCTTGGCCGAGAGCTTGTGGGTCACCAAGGATTTGAGTGTGGCACAGTGTTGGGAATTTGTTACAGAGCCACTTCCTCACCCTCCTCACCCAACAGTGTCCTTGAAACAGCTTAAGGAGGGCACATGGTAAAGAAGGAACTTGAAACTGAGATGCAACACACAAAAACCAAACCAAAACAAAGTAACCGGAAACAAACAAACCAACCAACCAACCAAAGTTATAGTATACAGAAAACAGAAGCAAAAACAGACTAGAAAGGAAAAATTTGAAAATGCTGCATCATTGTGTGAGGATAAAAAAAAATTCAGCTTGAGTTCAAAGTGGCAAGGGGAAATTTAGGGCAAAGAGCTTCTACAGATGGATCAACAGCAGCCAAATAAACAAGGAAAATGGAGGCCTGTAATGGTGGCCAAGGGACAGGGAAAACAGAGAGAGCTGGGAAGCCCAGCACTGCCTTTGTCTTCACAAGCAAGGCCCCCAAGGTTCTGTGCCCAGAGGCAGCTTCAACAGAGAACAACTGCAAAGAGTGGGAGAAGATTAAGTTGTGAGGACACAGAATCCAGAATAATTCTGCACTGAATTCTACAACTTACTACCTGGAATAAGGGAAGTTCTTGTGAGACTCTGAGATTATAAAAGATCCAAAGGTGTACATTCCAGACAGAACCATGACAGAAATGTTTATTCAATGTATTAACTCAAGCTCTTAGGAATAACAATATTGCAGGTTTACCACACTAAATTATTTACTTTGAAATTTCCTTTTTTCTGGAACTTTGCCTTCAGTTGTATCCAATTATTCGGTTTCCTCTCATTCAGCCTCCTAAATCAGTAGTTTCTGTGGAGGTGAAGGAAAGACAGAGCATAGAGATGCATTATAAAACACTGGAAAGCAATCCCAGCAACCTAAAACAGAACTTCAAGACTGCTGTCTACCTCAGTCCTCCTTACCCACTGCCTTTCAATGCCAACACTTGAATTTAACTGTTTTACATTGTTTGTCAGCTGGCAGACAGACTCAGTACACACACACTGACTGCCAGCCAGCCCATATGTAACTCTGGAATAGCCAAAGGATGTCTCCTACTTAGATGATACCAGAGGGAATGTGGAGCAAGAAGGATAGAATTTCTGTGTCGTCCTAAAATCATGGTAGTGGGGCAGGGAATACAAGGCTGCAAGAAAACAGATTTTGTTACATCTGCTCTTCACAGGATCCATATTTTCTTCATATCTTTTCCTCTTCCTGTAACTTCATCTTGCTAAACACAAAGACAAGGGGAACAATATGTTGCCTAAAATAATTATAGATGGAGACCTACACTGAAAAATGGATATAATCATCCAATTCCTTGATTCTGGACATATGTCACATCACCATATTTTCAGGCACTGGTATCAGCCTCTGTGCTGTATCTGACAGATACCTGGGTTCATTTGTTACTAAAAAGAGTCCCTACAAAAACCAGTGGGGAAACCAGAACTGCTTTGTTGTGGTAGGCCAGAAAAAATTCATTAGAATCAAGCTCAATGCAAATGGTTCTTTGAGCTCAATGGTCTTTGAGAGAAACCAGGCTCAGTGCATCTTGCCAAATCCAAAGCACAGCTATGCAGGAAACCTGCTGAGATTTCTGCTGGATCTGATCCAAGCCCAGGGATCCTGTAAGATGTCAGTCCCACACACCAGGTCAGCCAGCTGGTTGCTCTGCCCTGAAGCAGGAGAGCACCTTCAGAGATGAACACTGAGTGCAAATAAACTATGAAAACTGCAAGAGCTGACCTAAACGTTTTGTGTACACCCCCAGGCATTCTCAAATGGTTCAACAGACTTTCTGACCCCCATGGACAGTGCTTGGCTTTGGTTTATTGTAAAAGGGACTGATTACAAATGGATAAAATTACCTGATGTTTTCAGACATCATATCATTTACATGCAAGCTTGTAAACTTTAACACTTAATAAAATAAAATCAACACAGTTGGGTGGAGACCTACAAGCTAAATATGATTAAACACAGAAGCATCTTTTTGCTGCTTCTTAATAACTGTGTATTTAAAACAGGCATCTGAATGGCCTGGAAGAAAACCTGACCTTCTGAATTTTTAGGAGAAACAAATCAACCAGAGAGACTGACCAAACCCTAATACATATCAATACCTAAAATTTGTTTCTTCAGAGTTATTTTGACTGCTTTTTAGCTTCACTTGAGAGAATAATAATACACAGTTTCATTCATGAGAGAAAAGTGGAGTCCTCAAAACTTCCCAAACTTCACAGTCTGATATCATCTCTCTCGTTTTTGCATAAAAAAACCCCAGTTTGGAAATGTAATCTCCTACAAATTCAGCTCTGCAAGTGATGTCAACTGTACATGCATAGATAATGCTGCACAGAAGTGTCACTTTTAATTTGTGCTGTGGCAGTAAATGATCCTGACTACTCATAGTTTATCTCTCTAGAGGACTGTCCCTCTTATCAAAGGCAGAGATTCCCGTGGTCTCTCAGCAGCAGCAGGAGTTCACCTGATTGACCTGCATCATTTCAAACCCTGGCTGCTAATTAAACAACGAGCACACGTGCCCCAGTCCTCACCTTGATCCTCCCGAAGTTCGTTTGCTTCCTCCTCTCTTCTTCCCTCACCTTCCTCTCCTGCATCCCCTGCTGGGCTCAAACCTTCACTGGGTTCATGAGCAGAGGGCTCAACATCCCCACCCTCAGCAGACTCCTCAGTGACTGAAATATGAGAAATTAGAAATACCAAAGAAAACAAATGGTACACATTTGCACTCAGCCTTTGCTTTCATGCAGCAGCTACAAACTCTTAACTGAAGGCTGCAGTTGTTACTCACATCAGAAATCCCACACAATCTTCTCTAAGGGTTTGTGATCAAGCTTGTATAGACTAAAATGACTCACAGTTGTATCTCATTATGCTACATCAGATGAAACAGATCTATACACGTTGTGCAGTTTAGGAACAGAGTTGGCAGTTCCAAACATCCAATACATGGAAAATCATAGGAAAGACAAACCAAAACAAAGCAAAACACAAAAACCTTAACACCACCACTTGATATTAAACCCGAAAAACCAGAGCACAGAGTTTCCAGATGTCCAGCAGAACAAACCTGCAACTGGTGGCATTTCCTCCTCTCCAGTTTCTGCTGCTGCTGCCTCGAGGGAGGCTTCTCTGGGAGACGAGGGCTTTTCATCCTTGGGAGTCCAGGATGTTAATTTGGTAATTTCTATTGCTTTCCATGTTGGTTCAACAGGTAATGGGACTTCCTCCTCTTCTTCTTCTTCTCCTTTTTCCTAGAAGAGAATTCAAGAAATCCAGTACCTCATCCTACGGATATTAGGGGAGTAACTAAGGTGATGGTTTTGTGTACTAAAACCTCCTTATTTGGGTTGAAAATGGCAACACCTTTTAAAGTAATTTTTACAGGTGGAGGAACTTCAGCAGCCACAAATCTTGGACAAGAACCACACTTAGAACCTTGATGAAGTCAGTTGACCATTACTAGTGATTGACACTTTGCAGTTTGCCTTCTTTAAGGCAAAATTTTATCTCTCCCTTAAACAGAATGGCTGGGAGGGGCCTGTTAACTATGGCTCCTCCTCAGTGCCTGCAAAGGAGACCTGATGCTCTGCCTGGTAGATGCTGCCCTGTCTGTCTCACACAGGAACAGAAACAAAAAACAGCTGTTTCTGCCTCAATCTTTGCCTAGGGAAGCCCTCTGAAACAATCCAGGAAGCAATAAAGTACTGCACAAAAGCATATGGGTTTGAAATTTTTAATTCAAAAAATCATGTTTGATTTTATCCAAATATGAAAAGTCTTATAATGGAATCATTATCTGTATTCCCACCTAATTTTTTTAAATTTTTTTTAAAATGCACTTTGGTTTGCAACTACTTCAACTAAAGCAAAGGGGTAAAATTTAATCTTACTTTAGTGGCAGCACTGTCCATTGCTTTACACATCTAATCCAACAATTCCCAACTGAACTGAGAATACCACATACACATCATTTTGGGTACTCCTGTGAATCTGATACTTAATTTGGGGATCTCTTGCTTTTAGCCAAAGAAGGCAAAACAGTCTCCAAGCTTTGCAAATCTCTATCACTATTGACAGGAGTTTGATAATTATTATTTTATCCTTAAGAAATAATTGCTGAATCAGAGAATTTTCAAAGAGTGTGTAAGGGGAACTAATGTGTCAGCCAACAGAGGTAGCAAACTCTAAACTAAAATGGGGCATATTATCTTGAAATCAAAACAGTAATATTAAGACATATTTCTTATTTCTATAGCTATTTTGAACCATATTAATCAGAAATGTTTCAAAACATTCACGCATGAAGGAGAAGGAAAAACAGGCCCTGAACCCAGCTGCTCCCTACAATTATTAGAAGCTGTGGATATTATGCTCCTAACAGGACCAAGACAAAAATACTTCAAAAACATGAATCTGCTGGAAATTACCATTTGTATGCATAGCACCAAGCAGCTCAGAAATACAAGGAGAAATACTTTTCCCTGTTTTCTGGTTTTCAGAACAAAGTGTAATGTACACAGGCTAAATGTACAGACACATCTACGTTCTTCTGTGGTTTGAGCCTTCAAATGTTTTGGGAAGGTCCTGATTCTCCTAAACTTTAAGAATAAATGATTCGTGTCTGCAAGCACTGCAAAATCACACCTTGTACTTGTCAAAGCTTTCACAGTAGAGAAGGTAAAGGAAAAAGCAAAATGAAAAACCTCAGTTCTTAAGAATGCACAAGTTTCCACCGTTCTTTGGCTGGTAAGACCTACTTCAACATCAGTGTCTACAGGGCATTTTGTAGATTACTCAACTACAGATTTGATTTACTGAGTTCTCTAATACTCAGAGAATATCAGGGAAACATTAATCTGAAGCACTGTCTCTTTTACCTGCTCCAATTGTATGTATTCACCGTGCTGTTCACATCCAAAATCAAAGACGTACTTGCCACGACCTGAAGGCTGCATAAAGATACAAAAACATCAGCAGAACCAAACAGTTCATTCTAGGCACAGAAATGTATAATAACCTTTACTACAAAATCCACACAATAGTCAATAGCATTATAGCTTGGGAGCAAAGTTGCAGAGAAACTTGGCATTGTGTCCTACAGGTTAATTCAGTTTTACATGTTACACGTATGGCACAGGAAATAACACAGAAGATCAGGAACCTGGCTTCTTATTTTAAGTGGAAACAGATCATATTAAGGCAATTCTATGCGAACTGTTCACAGGAATAGGTAGTTTTGCTGCACACTTACCTTTCCATTGAAAAACCTGCCTATAAACCTATGGTTTAGGTGGATAATTTCAGCTGGTCCTTCCTGGATTCCATTTACCCAACGACCAACATACTTAGATCCTGAGTCTTTATAGACATATATGCCTTGCCCATGCCTACAGAGAAAAACATAATTTTGCTTTATATCACTGCATACTAAGAATTAAGGATTGCTATTGTTTTTAAGGTATGAAGTTGTTATTTTTAAGGTATTAAAACTGTATTAATTAAGCAGCTGAAATTACTCAAGCTGGACTAAATTGCAAGGTCACCCCTGGACTTGATTTGCTGCAGTCAGACGTGGTTTGAAAATAATCTTTGCTTTTTAATGCCATTGGGTGACTTGAAAAGCACAGAGAATGAAATTCTAAGAATGAAACAAACCTCTTGTGGTTAAACCACTCTCCAGTGTAGGTGTCTCCATTTGCATACATATATTCTCCATGGCCCTGTCTCTGGTCGTCCACCCAGTCTCCTTTGGTGACAAGAGGACACAAACAGTGTGAGATGTGGTTTATTTCCTGCTGTGATATAGTGGTCAGTTGGTAAAGTCATCATACAATTATTAGAGAAGGAAAAGAAAGCTATGACACCACTGTGGTTCCTTACTATTCCTTACGCCCCCCCTTACTCTAAACCCTTCCTCTTTTCTCATCAGTCTGTCACATATATTCATGCTGCTGCCTGACCTCCATTTCCCTTTGTCTATCATGGTCTGTCTCCATTATCACTCTCCATTATCATTATGAACACAGGAGGCCCTGTAACAACCTGCCCCTACATTTAACTGGGTAATGTAGTGCAATTGCAGTAGACAATGTGACATTTCCACACAAATTTAAAGGGTAATTACTTTAATTTGACTCATTTGCTGAAGTTGTCCTGTCAGACAGGGGGCACATACACTCAAAAGGATGCTAGACTGTGTGTCTTAATTATTCTTCTATTCAAATTTAATATTATTAAATAAAAAAAAAAGTAAAAATCACAGCTGCATACGCTCATGCAAGGCAAGATTGGGCTGCTCTTTTTGCTCTCAGCTTCTAGCTCTCATAACAGGAATATTTTTTCTTGTCTAGCTTAGAAAAAAAGGGGGGAAATACTGTCTCTTGAACCTCAACTGATATTCAGTTTCTCAGGTACACTCCTGCAAGCAAGGAAACAATGTGATTTTAAACTACTTCAAACTTCAGAGACATCCCAATCCCTGAGTAAAGGCTCTAATAAACAGAATATTTTTTAAGGATGGACCTTATAGAGTCCTAAAATACTTTACACTGAACACATCTGTGGTTCAAATTATCACCCAGAAATAAGGAACTATGCTCTCTGCTATGAGGACTGCACTTATTTGCAAAAGATACTCAATATTTCTCAGGACTTGGAACACCTCACTTCACAGGAGGATATGAAAAGAATAAACCACTAATAAATGTCATACTTATCACAATAACATATCCTAAATCCCCATAAATAAACCCCAAACTTCTCAGAGCCATTACTAAAGAAGGAATGAAAGGAACACATCTTGTAGCAAATACACCATCGTAAAGTAAGACATTCTCCAATTCACTATCTCTGTGCAATTAGGGGAGGAGGGGTGAATGTGTCCTTGCGGTAACAGAAATCCTTGCAACTGTGCTCAGTGTTTTACCTGAATATTTTGATCCATCTGGATAAAAAAAGATACCCTTGCCATGCTTTTTGTTTTGAAGGTAGTTTCCAGTGTAGAGAGCACCGCTCTTAAACCTGTAGGTCCCCTGGAACACATTTGACACAGACAAAAAACTTCTCAGCGCTCACTCTTGTTTCAGTCCAGTGCCCAAACTCCCACCACGGGGGAACGCAGCCGCAACCAGTGCCAGTGTCTTACTCGGCCGCTCCTCAAACCACGTTCGTATTCCCCCTCGTACGTGTCTCCGTTGGGCAGCCGAGCTTTCCCATAGCCGTGCCGCTCCCCTTCGGCGTTGCGATCGCCGTCGTATTCCTGCTCAAACGCGGGAAGAGAATGGGTGAGAGGGCTGGACCGGACTGAGTCCGACAGAAGGAAATAGGTGTGTGAGGAAAGCTGCCCCAGCCCGGCTCAGGCTGCGGTGCCGCGGGAGCGCTGCGGGCGCGGCCCGCCCGGCCCCTTTGCCGCCGCTTGTTCCCTTTCCCGCAGCCCCGGCCCGCGGCGCTGGAGCCGCTCCCGCCCGCTTTCCCCCCGGCCCCGTCCCGGCGGACCCCCACGCCGGCCTCGCCCTCCCCGGCCTCGTCCTGCTCCTCGGAGCCCAGGTCCGACATGGCCGCGAGTCGCCGTCGCTGTGACAACCGGAGCCACCCGCGGGGCCGAGCGCGGCCGGGCCGCCCCTCACGGCTGGGCCGCGCCTGGAGACCCCGGAGCCCGGCAGGGGGACTGGGTCTAGTCCAGGGAAAAAAAACCAAAAACACTGAGAGGGGATCTCATCCATACATTTAAATATCCCCAAGGGATATTTAAAGGTGCCAGGCTCTTCTCGGTGGTGCCCAGCGACAGCACGAGGAGCAATGGCCATAAACTAAAACACAAGAAGCCCCTCCTCAACACGAGGGAGAACATTAGGAATGGTCTTATGCGGGAAATTCTCTGTATTCTGACTTTTTTCGAAGCCCCTTCACTCAGTTGGCCTCGGCAGTGACCTACATAACTCCTGTGGCCAAGTTCAGCCACCTCAGACAGTCAAGAGCCTCCCATACTAATACAATTACAGATAAATCAATGCAGGCAGGGAAGAGAAGGGCTCCCCTTCCTCAAAAGACCAAGAAGAATGAAAGGAAGAAGCTCATGAGGAAAAGGAGAGAGTACAGTACATCACAGCCCCCCCCGTCCATATTGATCGGCAATAATACCCTGAATGGAAAAGATTTTATTTGTATTTTATGTCACATTTTTTATGTTTTATTTGTGAGCTGTGGTATTCAAAAGTAATCACTCTTTAAAGAGATTTGATTCGCCTCAATGGAAGGTAGTGCTTTCTGACTCTTTGCAGAGGAAAACTGAAACTCTGAAACTCTGAAACCCTGCCTTTGCGAAGGGAGATGATGAGTACTGCATTCCAGCTCCTGCCTGCTCCTGCAGATGTTGAGGGCAGGTTGTCTTGCTGAATGCAAGTTGTATTTCACTCCTCTGCAAAGCAGCAGGTTCACAGAGCTTGCTAGAGCTTGGCAGGACTCAGGGTGGGCCAGTGATACAGGAGTCAGGCAAATCACCTCACTGTCCCTTTGCACAGTAATTTAATGGCTGAGGTTTCCTAGGAGGAGCCAGGCGAGGATATGTGTGGTGAAAAGCAGCAAGGCATCCAGGCACTGGGCAGAGGAGGTGACATTTCTGAGGCAGGCAGCAAAAGGAGTGGCAAGTGGTAGGAAAACACGTGGAGGTCACCTTATACCCCGGGTCAAAGCTTTACCACACAAACCAGAAGAAAAACAGGGTCATCTCTATACAAAGATACACCATGTTCAGGTAAGTTTCTTTGTTTTCATAGCCAGTATTTAGATAATAAATAAATAGTAATAAAGTGTCACTTCTATGGCACGTGTGTCTTTTTGTTTTCAGTTGGGCAAAGATGAAAAAGGAAGAGACTATTGCTAAATACCTCCATGTTCGTAGGAACCATGTGGGCTTCCATGTCACTAACTTGAGAACACTTTCCATTTGAAACAGTTAAGAACACTGAAATTAAACTTTGTCAGCTGGCAGGGCATTAAGAAGCCATACATTTATTAACTCAAAACTGTATGGTTATTTCTCCTTCCTGCACATTCCCAGCACTTGACTAGGGAAGCATAATTTACATACTGCTGCACTGTTAATAAGCAACTGCAGAATGTGCAAATTAATGCCCTGACTGCTCACATCCTGCAGAAGTGACATGAGTGCACACTATCTGAAGCATTATCTGTGCAGTTTCTTCTTTCTTACTCTTGATCATGCCTCTGTTTCTTCTTGCACCTAAGGTTGGCTACATTCTTTTCTCTGCTATGAGGCGATGTCTCTAATTATAAAACTGGTCACTTGGTCTGTGAGTGGCATATTCATTCTAAGCAGACACTGAGGCTCAGGGTTATAAGGGAAAATATGTTTGGAATGCTTGTGGAGGTGCTCCCTGTTAAACTCAATGATAAAAATAACCAGACATGTCTTTTGGGCTCTAAGGTGACGTAGCCCAGGGGACAGCTGTGACACAAACAGGAGGCAGGGACAAGCCACCAGAGTCACTCCCCTGGACAATCACTAATAATGATCATTAACTGCTCTTGCTTATTGTTTCAGAACTCCAAAGGAGGAAAAGGGCCTGAAGGAGCAATAACTCAATTTTCTTGGGAAACAGCCCAGAACTATTTCTTTATAAAAGTAAAGCTGCTCAAACCCCAGAAGTGGCACACAGCACAAATGTCTGTATGTCAGGATCACGTAATCTTACTTAAATGAGAGAGGCATCATTTAAAGTTTTCTAGAAACTGTCTTGTGAGGACAACTACAGCTTATAAGGATACATATAATTAATGTCAAGAAGGATTGATTTTGTAGTTTCTGGTCTTCCAGTTGCATTTGGGTGTGTTGGAGTGTCACGTTAAAGTTAAGCTTCAAGTATGTGACTACTGAAAGGAGGGTTGCTTTCTTACTGCTTTCTTACTTCCTTACTTTCCTGTTTTTTCCTTTTCTGCCCAAGGACCAACATAATACTATGAACATTCTTAAGGTCCTGCTGATCTTGTATATAAATTTCATATATCCAAAGTCCTGAGAGCGTAAGTGTTTGTGCTGGAAAGACAGTGATGTAGGGAAGTTGGGCACAAGACCCCATAAGGTGCCACCTGTGGGAAAGGACAGCCCTGGATGTCTTTTTATCCTGCCTTGCAGGTCCTCACTCTCAACTGAACCAGAGAGCTCTGTAGGGAGGAGTGGCCAAAAAGCATTTTTAAGGCCAGTTATGCTCCTGGCTCTTCTTGGACTTCACCCTGTGTCAGGAGGGGAGAGACTTTCAGCAGTGCAGAGGTTTTGCAGGGAAGGTGCTGCTGTCCCAGGCCTGGGCTCAGGGCTCCTTCCAGCACTGGCCAAGCTCTGAAAACACACATTGCACAGTGAACATTGGAAATGTCAGGATTATTTGTTCACCTCTACATTGCAATCAGTGTCTCTCTTCCAAGGGGTGATAAAAATACAGCAGGGTGCACACATGACCTCTGATGTGGTGAAGGCAGTGTGCTGCTTAATTCACACTTGGTGCATTTTGGAATTCCTGCCTCCAGGAGCTGGCTGCTCGCTGCCCCTTTCCTACCACACATCCTTCTTCCAGGGGCAATGCCTCTGGGAACCAGCTTTTCTCCACCCAGCCTGCAATGTGGCTCTAGGGAGCCACCTTTTCAAATTCTGCCATCAAAATTAATAGGAAGAGTGGAGATAATTTGTCTGATTCACAGGTTGGTTTCCTCACTTCACATATTATTCGATTGTTACTGACAGAGCTGGTTGCTCTGTGAGGGCCAGTCCTTGGCACTCAAATCAGCTGGAGTTTAGCTCTGGGCTAAATTAGAGATGCAAATGAGCTTTCATTGCTTGTGGTAGGGCAGACCTGGGCAGGATTATGTCTTTTGACAGGACTTTAAAGAACAGAAATCTGTAGGTAAATATTTTGCTCTCTCTTTCTCCTTATAACAGCTAAAACCACAGTCGAGAGTAATGCATGGTCAGTATCAGATACTTGCAAAGTATAAACAGGAGCTGTCAGGAAAATCTTAATGAAGTCAGCTTTCTTCCCCCTGAAACTTAAATATAAACCAGGTTGTTTTCATCTGCCTTTTGGAGGAAAACTGAGGGATAAAAGAATTAAAATAATATCCAAAGGGCAGTCCTTGTTTGGGAACAGATATTCCAGGTCTTTTTAATATTCTGCGATAAAATATTTTCTTAGATTAAGGGAGAAAACAGTGGACAAAGTGGAATTTATTGTCACTAACTTCCATATATTGTTTTTTTTCCCCCCTCCAATTCAGATTTAAGCAAGATTCTTAAATGTCAAAATCCTTTGCAAAATGGGAACTTCTCTCCACACGGCTCTTTTTAAGCTCTTTACAGGCAAAATGAAATATGCTTATTCTGTATAACGATAGCCACTTTTTGTGCTAATAACCAGCCAGAAAAACAAGTAAATGACCTTTCAAGCCACTCAGTTTGCAAGTGCCTCCTCCAAGTACAGTTAATATTGGGATATCCTGAAGGCAGGATTATTCAAAAACCTAAGGTTGTGTGAAAGCCATTCTTGACATAGGGATAAAACTTTTTGGTATCTTGGCGAAATGAGACCTTTCAGTTTCCTCCTGTAGAATATCCAAGGGAAAGTGTTCTCCTGTATTTATATCCTGCCTCCCAATTCTCTGACCTCACTGCTCAGTTTGAAGGACAGACTGCATTCCATTCTTCTGGAAAAACTGTCAAGTTTCTCCTTTTACCTAAGGGGTTTCCCCTTCCACTAAAGTGCAATAGGGACATATACAGGTCACTCTGATTCCATGTAGGAAATTGTTGCTAATGTCTTTTATCAAGATTTCTATGACAATCAGAATCAATACTGCTACCGAAAAAGCAGTTGGCATTCATGAGATAAAATAATATCTTATGGCCAGTATAAGAATAAAGCAGCATTAATATTAAATTTTTCTCTACTTTTCTCTGGAAGTTGTTTCATTAAATAACCAACCATCCAAACCTAAGCTTCTTTATTCAGGCATAGCTTGTAAGGACATAAAGTTTAAGCAGCCCAGTCCTCCACTTGAAGTCCTAATCTGGTAATTCAGAATGAATTCAATAGAGAATAATGAAATGATTGAGATAGATGGGACTACTTTGGTGCCTCCTCATTCCTGTCAGCTCAAATACCTTTGTACTTCATCTCCTTATTCCTGACTTGCAAGGCAATTGCTGTAGTGTAAGCTCTCTGTTCTTATCTGCTTTCTACTTTACCATGGTATTTGTAACTGTTCTGGTATTTGATTTCTATTAAAATATCTTCAGTCCTCCCTTCTCATATAACCACCCTCCAGTGATCAAGTCTGCAAGCAAGGAGAAAGGAAATCTGTCAGTGGCCTACCTGCCTATTTCACCCTGTTTACTCCTCAGCAATAGTTTCTGCAGCCATATCTTGCACTTCCACTCCGTTCTCCAGGAAAATTAAGACTAGAAATAAGAGCAAAGTAACAAGAGAAACTATCCCATTTCCTGCTGGAAGCAGAATTAGATTCTTCAAGATAAGTTCCTCAAAATAGGATTGTATTTTGTGATGAAAGATGCTCCACATATCGTTTCACAGATTCCAACGACGGCTTGGTTGTATTTTGGTTTTGTTTCTGTTTTTGCTGTTTGTTTGCTTGCTTGATTTTTAAATTCTGCATTCTCAGAACATTCTTTTCATTTTTCTTTGAGTTTCTATTTTATTTTGGGTCTCTAGCCAAGGAACCTCCATCCTCACTACAGGGGCCACTGATCCCAGAAGCCAGAGGTCACGTGAAGCAGCTCTGCCCAGGGCTCCCTCCAGCAAATCCTACCCCAACAGACACCACTGCTGCTATAACCACTTCTTTCACAGCTCTTTCCTTAGACAGCATGAGGTGATTTAACAGTCAGACTCTCCAGCCCTCTGGAAAGCCTTGGGGAGAGTCAGAGCAGCACACTGCCAGCACCACTGACCTCATTTTTCTGAGTGGAACCGGAGACAGAGAGGCAGCTCACAGGGTTCAAATAAATGCCATCATTCCTAAATGTCTCCTGCAGTCAGAGCAATATCTATCTTTATGTAGGCAGCCTGGAGGCAGTTTTACTGCCCCTCCCTCTCCATGTTCCACATGCTATATGTTTATTTTCTTCATAAGTAGCCATTAGTACTCAGGTACAGTCTTGCTCTGTCTGTGGAAAAGCCTGTGCTGGCCCAGTGCTCTTGTCCATTGGTCTCTTTTCCTAAAGCTTCTGCCTGGTGATTCTCACTGGATTTCTGTCAAGCTGCATGCAAAGAAAGTACCAGTCTGGAAACTCTGGAGACATATTAGTGTGGCACTGTGCCAGCACTAAAATTTATCATAATGGGCAGGACACAGTGTGCTAAATCAGCTAGAGAGCTTCCAACACAGCTGGATTACCTCCAACCCCTCCCAAGTGTGGTCACAGCAGGGCTATACCCATCTACATACAGGCATAGCCATTTTTTGGCCCTTTTGGATATTTTTATTTTTTTCTGTCTGCCAAAGCTCGATGGCAGGTTATATTTGGATTGCACCCAGTGTTGATGTGAATTGCTTATACAATATCCCAGCTGCTCTGTTGGGAAAACAAAGCATGTAAAACTAATAAAGGCAAATAAAAGCAGTGATTACATCAGTCCTAGGAATCCTGCTACTTGTGGGGAATAAAGTCTGAGTAAATATCAGTTTTTATATAGTAAGATACTATTTAACAACCCATTATCATGTAAATAAGGTATGAGTTTCTCTGATCCCCTAACACAAAGAGACTGCTCTGTGGCCAAACAGATTAGCCTTTTCCATCTGTGCAATTATGAATCATAAAAGATACTTGTGCAATTTACTGGAAAGGAAATAAATATATGAATCAGCTAAAGGATGCAATAGTCTGCATCCAGACCTCTGCTCAGCCAGCATCACCTATTCAGCAAGAAAAGACTATGCTGACACCCACTGTACCACCACTGCAAAGTGCTCTGCTACATCAGCTCTTGAGGAGTTAAAGCACCACTCATGGAAGTAAAATTTAACTGTCAACCAGGAAATGAGATTATCTCCTCTGAGAGAAGCACCATGAGAAGCATCCGTCAGCACCTGCCAACTCATACATCTTTATTTCTGTTTGGTTTTGCAGACAAGAGCTCGGACTTTTCTATTTCCTCTCATATGAACGTTGCCAGAGGCTTAAAAAGTCAAACTGCTGCCACACTTTCTACCTAATTTACTGGACTGTGTCCTTCATTTGTGTTTCCTTCTGGAAAGTAACTGGTAAAGTGTCCTTTCTGGGTTTTATGCTGTGAGGCTCTAGATTACACACGTTATTTTAAAACTTGCATTTCTGGTTTTTTATCCATGTACTTTCGGCTGTAGATCTCCTTTTCTCTCTGCCTGACCTCTGGCCCTCCTCTGATGCTCTGCACCAGCAGGCTGTTGTGCAACCAGCAGCACCAGCTCCTGCTGCTCCCTCTCTCTGTATTCCTACTTATTTGATGGCTTCTGGCAATTGTAGCTGCTGGTGACCCACACTGGCACAGCAGAGAGCGCAGCTGTGCCAAGTGTGGCAGCCAGCAGGTTTCAGTGATGCTAAAGGAATGGATTGCAGGGAACCTTTATTTGAATTGGAGATGCAGTTTGTACTTTTAAGTATGAAAAATATCAGGGTTTCTGTGGCTGTTTGGCTCATGATTTTTGCAAGCTGCTTGTAACTGAGAATAGAAAGATATTCAAGCGAGCTAAATTCTTTCAGGAATTTAAAAAGGGCCAAGGCGACAGCAATTTAAAAAATATGAGGATTCCACATGATGATGAATAGTTGCTGTGATAATCTAAGATGGCTAACCCATGTATACAAATGCACTCTGATGGGTCTGACCTTTTCTGCTGTAAAGAGACAACTTTTCATTTTTTTGGTGTGTATGTGTGTGTGAATCAGAATAAACCATGTCTGTGCCTTACGGTGCAAAAGTGCAGCCACATGACTCATGCAAATCACTGTTCTTAGAGGAGCATCCCCTGACTAGTTTTGTCTCTGCTAATTGGTTGTTACAGCAAAAATGACAAGTATCATTTGTCATTACACAGACGCTCTGGCTGTAACTACCCCATCTATATTGGATTTTAGCGTGTGCTTTTCCACCCCAGAGAACAGTTGTCCTGTCAGTAAGGCGAGGACATTTCCACGATAGGCCTGCTCAGAAAAAATAAAGCAGCTTGAAGTATTTCCTTCTCCACTTCATGCACCATCATACAGGGGACAGTAGATGTGGAGAGCTAAAGCAGCCCCGGGACATGCCTGTTTATCTCCATCTCCAAGTGTTCAGAGTCTGCTAAACTTAGCCCTATGTCCATTTTTGACAGTAGGCTGAGCTGGTGAGGGTTTGGGGCAGATGATTTTTCTTTTGGATTGGCATGGGACTGTACTGTTAAAAAAGCAACCATGCACTGTCCTTTCCCTGAGACACTGAATGAAACTGTGGTTTGTTTTATACTGCAGGATGGTTTGGTAAAAGCTGTGCTAATTTGAGACCTTTTGATAGTGAGTAGAGGCTTTTGCTTTTATCTGAGAAACAAAATCATCTCCTCAGAGGACTGATGATAATCAAGAGCACTGCATTAGCTTTCCAAACAGGTAATTTGTAGCGCTTGGGGAGATGATGTGAAGGTTTTGGGTTTTTTTTAACCTCTGATTCTCTGCTTACAAATCACAGCAAGAAGGTTGGAATCAACATCTGCCACCAGCAAGCTTTAAAGCAGTGGGTTGTGCAGCATCAACCTGCAATCTGCAATGGGTGCAACTCTGGGACTCTGGTTCTGCAAATGTTAAAATAAGGGTGAAGGCCTCATTTGCTGACTCAGGGGGAAGTGAAGGCAAGATGCCATTGTGATTGTAGAGCAAAGCTGAGCATGTGTCTGAGTGTTTGACATGTGGGGCCTAGGTAACATCACACTGGGAGTCAAAGAGCTTCTTTTATTGGTATTTCCAGCACAGGCAGTGCAAGAGGAGAGGGAAAAGACAGAACAAAATTGAACACTTCAGTGAGTGCCATAGGCAGGTCGTTTGTGCGAGGCAGGGGGCACTTTACAGGGGACAAACAGTTATACTGATAAATTTAAACCTGCATGAAGTAACTGTTAGCAGCTATTCAATCTTGGATGAAAGAAACAGCATAGGGGTTTCTGCACTGGGGAGGTTGTCATGATGAAGAAATGCACGAGCAGCTGGAAGCGTGCATTTATATAAATAACTGAGCTTTGAAATACATACGGTTGCTGAAATGCACTGCAGGATCAGGAAACCAGATAACAACTAAAATAAATACATTATTTCTTTTTTAAAGAAGCACCACTGAATTTTTCCTTCGGATTTCCGGTGACCTGGTGTGTGATTTGTTAATATTCGCCGTTTGGCACCAGAAATACCTTCGTGTTATGTCTGGCAGGCAATCAACAGTGCTGCAGTGAGACACCTGTGCACACCTACCCAGGCTGGGGGGCTGCCTGCCTGGGGATCCTACTGGCGATGCCGGGCAGCACAGGGGGATCAGGACATCACTCTGGAGCACCTGGAGTGGGAGAGGCTGGCAGGGTGACAGGTGGATCGGTGGGAATGGTGGGCACAAGGGAGCAGCTTTTCCTGCCCCGCAGGTTGGGGGTGAGCTGGGGCCTTGTGGGAGACCAGGGGCAGCGGTTCCCAGAATGGGTCAGGTTGGAAGGGAGTCATCTGGTCCAGCCTCCCTGCTCAAGCCGGGTCACCCCAGAGCACATGGCACAGGACTGTGTCCAGACGGTTCTGGAATATGTCCAGTGAGGGAGACTCCACACCCTTTCTGGGCAACCTGTTCCAGTGCTTGGTCACTGCACAAGAAAGTTCTTCTTCACATTCAGCTGGAACTTCCTGAGCATCAGTTTGTGCCCATTGTCTTTTGTCTTGTTGCTTGGCATCACCACGAAGAGCCTGGTCTATCCTCCTAGCACCCTCCCTTTAGGTATTTATACACATTGAGGAGGTCCCCTCTCAGCCGTCTCTGCTCGAGGCTGAACAGGCGCAGCTCCCTCAACCTTTATTTGTAAGAGAGATGCTCCAGTCCCTTCATCATCCTCACACCTTCCTCTGAACGCACTCCAGGAGCTCCATGTCTGAGGAGCCTAGAACTGTTCACAGCACCCCAGATGCGCCTCACTACCGCTGACTACAGGGTCAGGATGACCCGCGGGAACTGCTATTCCTCATGCAAAGGGTTCCCCCCGCAGGCTCCTCCTTCTCCTCCTCCTCCTCGGTGCGGCGGGGAGGAGGGGCCGAGCCCGCCCGGTCCCGCCGCGCAGCTCCGGCGGCGGGCGGCGATCCGCAGCCTCGCCCGGCCCGGCACAGCCCGGCTCGCCGGGACACGGGGGACTCAGGAAGCTGCCGGTGCCGGGATCGGCATTGCCGGGTAGGCTCGGCGGGCGGGGGCCGGCCGTGCACCTGCCGTGCCCGCGGCGGGGGCGGAGCGGGGGCGGCTCCGGGGCCGCGGGGCCGCTCGGGAGCGGCGGGACCGGCCGGGGGTGCGCGGGGAGCGCTCGGGCACCGGCCGGGGGTACCCGGCCCCGGCTCTCCGCCCCTGTGCGCTGCCGAGAGCTGCCCGTGGGTTGGGCTCGGCTCCCGCTCTTGGCGCTGCCCTTGGCCCCCGGGGCGGCTCCTGGGGCGGTCGGTCCTGCGGGTCCCGGGGCCCCGACCCACGATGTGCTCACCGGGGCTGTGCCCCGCTGTGGCTAAGCCAGGGTGAACCGGGGTTTTTTTGGTGTGTTAAATAGAAGGAACGTGGCCATTTAATGCCCCAGGGTGGTGGGTTTGGCAGGCTCTGGCTCGGGTGCGGAGCTGCCGGGCGTTAAGCGCGACGTGCATTTGACCTGCGTGTGAGCGAGGGCGTTTTGAGCCCTTGAGGACACCCCGAGGAGGGTTTGGTTACCCGCTGTTTGCAGACACTGAATTAATCTCTGCCCTCTGGGGAGCTGTGCGTGGCCAGGCACGACCTTCCTTCCCACTGCCTGTCCAGCACAGCTGATCCCGGGTTTGCCGTGTTTGCAGAGGGAAAGGCCGGTCACCGATGACTGTTTTCCCGAAGCAGGGAGGAATGTTTCAGCCAGTGGGAAGCCTGAAGGAGCAATACCAATTTTGGAAGGTAAATATGGTTTCAAACTAAGTACCAGAATATCGCTTTATAGGTTGCAGTACAGCAAGGAGGAAGCGAAGTGTTTGTTTGGCTGTCGGCTGAAATGGTTGCAGAAAATGAAAGAACCTAAAGCCAGTTTCAGTGATTAGATTCGAGATTGTCCTTGAGCTTCATTAGTAAACCAGAAATACAAAGGATGTATTGGCAAACTAGCGGTTATGTGTTGTACCCTATTAATGTAATTTCTGAAGTATAGCTTGGCTTTTAAAATTTAGTTTAATCTACGGCAGGATGTGATCTTTATAACCTGTTTTCACAAGTTTTATTGCCACAAATTCCTTTGCTTTTGTGGAGGACGTTCTATTTGTTTATTAAAAAGCACGTGAATGTCAGAGGAACTTACAGATACGTGGAGACAGAGATAAGTTGTTGACAAGTAATTGAGAACTCAGCTGTTTCTGCTTGCAGTACATAAAATATAATCAACCTCTGTCAAATAGAGTTCGAGTGCAGTCCTCTCTGTGCTGCTTATAGTCCAGTCATCTTTGCTGGGAAGTGACTGGGATCCGGGTGATGGGATTTACTGTTGGGAGGTGGTGCGAGTACCATCTGTGCAGCAGGTGCACAGATGTGCAACCTTGTGTGACCACTTAGTACTGAAACCTTTTGTAAGATCTGTGAAGTCTTTTCCTGCTTAGGCTAAAGCTGCTAAATAGTAGCTTGTTAAATAATTGCTTTGCTATGATGATAATTGCCTTGTCCCATTATATTTTAAAAGAACCATTTAAGGAGATGTTTGACCTCGGCTTTTTGTTCTCAGCCGGCTTCTCAGTTTTTTTCCCAGTAACTATTTCTGTCACCCTGCTTAGTGTGGTCAGTTAAATAATAATTTTGGTGTCTGGGGATAACTGTGAGAGAGAAATGGGGTTTGGGATCACCCTGAAATAGGTTTGTTGCTGCTGGAAGAAAAATACCCTCCAGCTGGGGGCTGCTTGTGCCAACCTATTTTTCTTCTTACCTTTCTTCTGCTACTGGAGCTATCAACCAAACACATATTCCTGACAAGTTGTTGTTTTGAATTTGAGTTCCTCTGACCTAACTAGCCAGCTGTGGTTGAAAGGGGCAATCCCACCTTCAGTCCCTGCCTTTATGCTCCCGCTGCGTTGGATTAATCCTAAGTAGCAGTTTTATGACTATAGAATGAATTAATATTCTCTGTTGGATCAGCTGCATTTCATGGCAGGTTTTCTGATGAATCAGCCACCTGAACCATGGCTGTACAACTGCAAGGTCTGACACAGAGGGAAGCAGGGACCTGCATTTGGGAGTGGAAGAGGGGAGGAGGATGTAGGGTTGCACTTTCCTTAACCTCTGCAACCTCAAAGAGGAGGTAGGAAACCCATGTTGGGTTGGAATGATTACGGGGTTTAATTAATTGCACAACTGATTCAGAGCTGGGGAGGTGTGGGGGGGTGAAACATGCCAAACGAGATTAGCAAGTCAGCTCACTTCGAGGGAGGGAGGTGTCAAACTGAACCAGGATACTGGAAAAAATAAAACCATGGCAAAAATGTGTTAGCATAAAGGAGCAGACCCCTAATTTTCTGTTGGGATACTCTGTTTGGAAAGAGGTGAGTTTTCCTCCATTCCTGGGGAGAAAGTCAATGTGGGTAGTGAAGCTTTCAAGTTGCTGGCTTGGACACAGCAGATCCTGTTTGGTGTTGGCATTCATCTGGTTGAAGGATTAGTTTTGATTTCTGTAATAAGATGGGGCAATGAAGATGATCTCATGTTAAGACCAACCCTTGGTCTTGGGCAGGTCTGTTTACTTGCTTGGCAGGTGTGTTTTCTTTTGTTTACCAGGAGAGCTGATCCTGTCTCCTACCAACTTCCCATCTGTGGCTTTTGCTGTCATTAAACCCACTAGCAGGGCTACCAGGAGGGCGGTAGGGGTTATGCTTGACATCCTGCTGGGGTGGCTCTGCTGTGAGCACACAGGGAGGGTTTTCATGCGTGACTTGCAGTCACACCTTTTGCCTACAGTGCCTTTTGTCATCGCCCTCAACAGTTGGCTGACTTGCTGCCAGCTAACAGTGCAGCTGCTCTCTGGTGCAGTACCTGCAGTAAAGATATTGTGCATTTATTTTTCTGTTGAGGGACTTCAGCCCACGTTTGAACAAACAGGAGGAACTCTGAAACTTTAAACCAAACTGAATTGATGCTGACACAGTCTCTCTCTCCCCTGCCTGTTATGGACACGTGAGATCCTGCCTTCTCCCCTTGTGCTGATGCAGGGAGCTCAGGTGGTGAAAAAACTTGTTTATTTTCTTTTCCAAGTTTTCTGACGATGGGGTGCTTTGTGCAGGACTGCCACTGGGACAGGGAAATGGGGTGGAAGAGGGAGTGCTGGTCGAGTCTTGCTGGCAGCATTGTTCAGCAGCACCCACTCTCAAGCTGGAGGAGTCTCTATTCCGAGCTGGAAACACTACAGCCATTTTTGAACTAATTGCAAGCTCATGAATGTTTCTGATGTGCTTAAACAGATCTTTGTGGGCTGGGGAATTGTCTGCTTGTAGCCATTCTGGGACAAAAGCGGAGTGTTTTGATGTCAGCTGGCTTTGGATCGAGTTCTGTGTGCATCTTCCCTTTGTGTCTCCGCTGCTTTGTACTATGCCGAGTTCTCAAAATGCATTATAAATGATAAAATTCAGAAAAGGCTGCGTTTTTATATCAGCTTAAAAATTCTCCATTACATTTTTGATGGCTGGAAGGTTAGTTATGGTAATTACTTGCCTCTGAAGTAGATAATTACTGATTCAAATGTTATGGTTAGAAAATATTACAAATCCTCCATCAGACTGTTTACTTATCAGCTTCTCTTATCTGAAGATCAGCAGTTAACAAAGGCAGAGTGAAGGATTTGCCACGTCGAGACTGAAGGTGTAAGACTAAAAACCTACAGGGAGATCAGCTCAGCAGCAGCTATTCCACATTTTTTACCTGCCATCCCACGGCTTCTAGGGGATCTTTGTTACACATTCAGAAGAACAGAAAGCACTGTCACGAGTACATAATTGTGTCACCTAAAATTTGGTACCAGCCATAGTGTAGATGGCTCAGCTTCCTCCTGGGATTCGTTTCATCACTTCATTTTCACGAGATCAGTGGTAAGTCCTGAAGTATGGTGGTGATCTTTGTGGACAGTGTGAATTTGTATCTGGGAAGATCACGCTGCTCTAGTTTTTGCTTTTTCATTGCTTAATATACACAGGAAGAAAATATAGCCAGTTGTATAATAAATATTGATGACATCTAAAAAGTTAGGTGCTTTGTTGGGAAGCCCAAACAAACACTTACTAGCCTTTTGTCCTTTTCTTTGCAAGGTATTTAAATGATAAATTTCAGATTTTTATTTTCAAGCTCTTAGGTAGGAAGAGTGGCTCAAGGTAAACTCTCTTTTCTTAACCGTAAGTGTATTTTCTCCTCAATAATTTGATGTTTAATACAGACTTGTACAATTACAGTTTTAGTTCTTGCTACTGTAATATTGAAAACAAAAGCAAACCCTAAAATAAAACAAACAAACAAACAAAACAAAACCCCCCAAAACAAAAAAAACCAAAAAAAAACAAAAACCCCCCAAAACAAACAAAACCCCCCCAAAACAAACAAAACCCCCAAACAAACAACAACAACAAAACACAAAAAAACCCAAAACCAACACAAAACCCCCCAACAAAACTGAACCAAAATCAAATCCTCTTTGCTCAAGAAAACTAATTCTGGAAGTTTTGTGACATCAGTTCATGTGCTTTCTGAGATAGAAGACTGAGTCAGTTGTGTGTGGAAAAAAAAACAAATGAAAGACCAAGCACTTTCCATTTGAGCAATTTTATCATGTGTTTTCTCTAGTATAGCAGCAGGAACAAAGTAATTTCAGTTTTATTCCTTGTGAGGAATAAATGTGTGTTTTCAGTGAAAACTGTGTTTTCAGTTGTGAGAGTGAGTAATTCAGCTTGTGGGATAACTCTTCTAGTGTCTCTGTGAATATACCAGAACTGTAAAACAAGGCCTTGATTATATAAAAGTTTGTAAGGCAAAAAATTATTGAAAAACGTTGATTAAAAAATCACAGACCATAGTAGTCTGTGTGATATCAGATATTTGTATTTATATATGTACTTTTATTTACTGATGTTGATTTTAAGATCAAGGCCAGAAGGAACCAGCAAATACACTTGGACTCTGCATATTGTTAAAAGCACAATTCCACAAAGTGCTCTCCTTAAACAACTGAAACTGCAGGTAGAGCAGAGAATAGATCAGCTTGTTGACTTTGTTTAATGCTTACAGTGACAAGGATTTTGGGATGTCCTTTTAATTCAGCTGAACTGCAGAGAAAGACCGAAAGATGCCAGTGAGGCACAAAGGAGAATTCCTTCCCAATCCCAAACCTGCTTAATTATGTTCATGTGCTCCAGTACACTCTGTCTGTCCATCTCTGGAAACAGCTTATTTCTGTTGTTACAGAGGAAGGCAAAAGTAAAGCAGAATCCTAAAAGCAGTAAGAAAACAAGGAAGTAATAACCCACAATAATCAAACTGCCAACTCAGAGAGCCATCACTTATGTCCTAATCATACCAGAAAACCCAGTGAGACGGTGAGGTGTGAAATCTGATTATCAGTATGTTTAATGTTGAACTGACATTTAATAGCCCCCAAAGGAAGGTTGCAAACAAGGCAGATGTTTTTGTGTAACTTGGTGCTGAAAGGAGATCTAAATAAAATAATTTTCAAATACTTTTTATTTTATACTGTAGGTATAGAGCCTTCATTTTCTCTCTCACATTCCTGCTGTATGCCAGCTTCCACTTATCAAGGAAACCTATTAGTATAGTTAAGGTAAGCAGAGTTCTGTCCTTGTTTAAACATCCTTCTGCTCCTCAAACACAGAAGTCATTGTCTTTTTAGTATTTCCCATTGTGAAAGGCAGTGTTAAACTTTAACTTGAAGTGGCTTCAATATGAAAACCTGATAAAGCCAGTACACAGTGACATTTGCTTGATAAACTTCAGTGAGACCACGCCTAGAATATTGCATATATGTCTGGTTTTTGGGGTTAGAACTTGACACAGCTATGCCTACACTTAATTCATGTGACTTAATCTAATTATAGGTATTTGAGAGATTTACAGTTATTTTTGAGAAAAGTTGCTCATAACTGATGAGTTGAACATGATAATATTGCCTTGGCATTTACGAGAGTGTTCCAAGTACTGTTGAACATCATAGTTGTCTGTACACTTGGGACTCTGTTTCTAGTGAAACTGGTGGCAAAATATTCCATAATTCAAGGTTTGTTAGTTTAATCTTCAGCCTGTAAAACTTGCCAAACTCAAATCAAATCCCCTTGTGCTGTCTTGTGTATAAGTGATGAGTAACAATGGGCAAAGTACCTGATGTTACTGCAGAATTTCAGAGCTGTTCACTGTCAGAAACACCAGTTCACTACAGAATGTTTTTTCTAACCATGTGATTAACTATCTCATGTAGTGGTGGCTTCACTCACCAAAATGCCAAGCAATTAATAATGGCTAACAGTGTTCCTGATTTTGGTGGGTTTGACACAGGTTCACGTCAGTCTGGGTTTGTGAAGTTTGTTGTCATATGGGAATTAACAGTCCCCAGCTCACAAGTGAGTTTTTTTCCATTTTCAAATGTCCTTTCTGTTTCAGGGAGAGCTGCATAAGCATTGTGCTGCTTCACATGAAGTTGAACTTGACTCCTACAAAGAATATGCTGCCCAGATTCAGCCTCTCAAAAAGCCATTTAACACCTCTCAGTGTGGTTGGGAGCCATTTGGTAAGGGTTGGGGTTTTTTTTTTTGGTTTTCTGTTTTTCCCAATAATGAGCTCATATTCATAATTAGATTATTTGCTTCTTGCTATTTCTTCACATATGGAGGTATTGAGGAGATGTGCATGGAAGGGGTGTTTTGTTTTCCACGTTCTAATTGATTTCTTCAAAGAAAGTTAAGTTGTGACCTACCTTATGATGTCTCTCCTGCTCAAAGTCACTTAAACAGGTGACATTATTTTACTTGTTACAGCTGTGAGATGGTGTCAGTAGAGCAGTTTTCAGTCAGAAAATGGGATTTGTCTTTAGTGTGTCTATTAAGGAAAAAAGGGTGAAGAATAAAATAAATCATTTTTATTTTCTACTCATTTAATTCAAGGTCCAGCAACCCTTTAAATTAATTTACTTGGTGTTTATCGAAATCAGAACTTTTCAGAGTCCTTATCTGCTGGAAGAAATATCTTTCTCTCCATTTTAATGAAGAAAAAGAGGAGACTTTATTTCAGAAAAGACTTGACAACTTACTGAATAGTTTATGGACATGGCCTTTCACTTAGATAGAAAACTAATATTTGTCTACTGAACAATTACATTTTAATTTAATTGTGTTTGAATTTCAGGGAAACTTTGAACCATTCCTTGATGCTTTAATTACTACCAGGAACATCAGTGAAGTAGAATAGTCCATTCTGTCAGTGTGCCAGTGCACACCAGTCTATGTAGCCATCCATTCTAATTAGTCCTTAATTAGCAATTAAAAAAAAAAAAGGTGCTACTCTGTTCAAAGATAATTAAAGATCTGAGCTCTGGGTTTTCTGTGGACAAAATCCAGTGTATTAACTGCCTGTTGCAAGGTCTGCTGAAATTATTTAGTCCCGTTGGATGGGATGTAGTTAAATTGGTTGGTGTTTCTTGTCCCTGGACCGAGGGGAGGCTGAGTTTGCGTGTCTGAAACACTGGTTGGCTTTGCTAGTGGAGACTTCTGAGCTCCAGTGTCCTCTTTTTCCATGAACACATGGGTTACTACCAAGCTACCCCTTTGGGATGGCACTCTAGACTTGGGTTTTTGGCTGTTTTTTTCAGGCAGTACAGCTGGGAAAGCTGGGAGTGACACTGAAAGAAGGAATGCTTCAGTATCTGTGACTTCATGCTCAAAGTCAATGGCAATTGTGGCTCCTTGCAAATAAATACACAAACTGTCTTTCTTGGTATGAGCTCAGGTCTCCTGAGAGTAGACTTGGCATTTCCATCTGGGTGGAGGCCCTTCTACTCCCTCCATCCTGTCTGCAAGTCCCATTTTGGTGTGATTTATGCTTGTTTGCTGTACAGAGCAGAACCCTGTTTGTTGGGTTTTTTTAAGCAGAACTCTGTGCCCTGTGAATAGTTGGAAAATGAAATGCAAAAGGCTTTAACAATAAAAAAAAAAAAATTAAACTGATTCTTTAAAAGCCTCTGTGATGATGGAATTTTTTTAGCCATTTTGACTGTTAGGATCTCACACATTTACAACTCATCTTCCCACTTTTAATCAAGTCACATTGGGATTTTCTTATGTCTAAGGACATACAAGGGCACTTTATTAATAGCTAGTGTTTCTTCTCTTCCAAAATGCTGTTTTGAATAAGGTAGAGTTAAACATGGGCCTACCAATATTTTTGTTATATGTTACAGCCATTTATTTTTATATTTTCATTAAATAAAACGTTTTGCAAAATGTGTGCTTAGGTGTAAAAGCACCTATTGAAAATTAAATGCCAGTGCATGTTCACTAACATTTTTCTTCTTATATGTAAAAATGGTTGGAAATTAATTAGTACATTTAAACTGATAATTTGTTTTGAAAATTATTCTTAGATAAGAACAACTACAAACAGTTACTGGGAGCGCTGGATTACTCGTTTTTGTGTGCATATGCAGTTGGAATGTATTTAAGGTAAATACACTCTCTGGGAAACCTGCTTTATTGCTGACTGTTAATTTATGAGGCTGCACAGCTTCTGAGATGTTGTGATTCCTTATGGGAAAAGTTTCTGGTGAAGAGAGTGAGAAACTGATTGCTGAGGGGGGAACAAAACCCACGTCATCCTGAGTCCCAGTGGTATCATATCTGTTGATCTATAGAAAGCTGCTTCTTACCTGCATCCATCATGACTGCCTTGTGCAGGAATGCTTTCCAACTTGGCCTGTCTTTGCTTCATGTGGAACACAAAGGAATATACACTGGAATATATGTCCTCAATCAGTCTCCGACTTGTAAACTAAACTGGTTGTCCTGGCTTTCTCTAGAGTGAGAGGATGGAAGCAGACACCTCCTAAAAATAATACCAAAACCATCTTACAGTGTGCAAATATTAGCTGCTGTTTGGAGATGTTTCTTTTTATTAAAACCAGAACCTTCGTGATTAGAATTATTAGCAAGGGAGACAAGTCTCACTTTAAAAGGCTGGAGACATGTCCCACCTTACCTGTCATTTGGAAAATGACTCTGTAAGTAAATGTACTCTAGATGAGTATCTGCCTGAAGGATGGTTGTGCAGGTGTCAGAACTTAGCAATTAATGAACATGAAATGTTTGTTGGGTCTTTTTCCCTGTCAAGCGCTGCTGTGAAGGCAAACAGCAGTTACCAGTAAAGTTTCTCCTCAGTCAGAATTAAACAACAGAAAATATTCTTTGTTTGTGAAGGCTGGGGGTATGATCTCATTTTTAATTATGGCCTTTCTCTTTATTTCCTTCCCCATTCCAAGTGGACTGATAGGAGAGCGGCTGCCGATCCGGTACTATCTGACGGGTGGGATGCTCTCCAGTGGGCTCTTCACTGCCATGTTTGGATTGGGTTATTTCTATAACGTACATAATCTGTGGTTTTACATCATGGCCCAGGTAGGCACGATGTTATTTAGGCACTGCAGAGTTTCTGTGGTGCTGTTCAGTGTTGTGTTGGGTGCTTCTCAGCTACGCGCAGTGATTAGTGGTTGGATGGGAGGGTGTAGATGTTGGAACACACTGTCAGTGATGACAGGCAGAACTGACAGAGTGGATAGCCCCAGGTTTTATTTTTGAAAAATGTTTTTCTAGTGAAAGAAATCTTTGAAAACAAATTAGTGTGTTTCACCCTGTGTCAAATCAGTGATCAAATCTTTGCGAGCTTAAATGTGGGCGAGTTTTAAAACAAGCCTATTTACTTTTGTCAGTCTGCCAAGACCTGAGTGACTCATCCTGGCTTTCTCTGCGGGAAAATTAACATTTATACTGCTAATGATGAACAGTCTCCCAAACTGGTGTGGCTTATGTAACGAGATTGGTTGTGTGAGATTTTTTCAGAGCACTAATCAGGTGTCACAAGAATATTTGCTGTTGACCTGAAATGGACTTTAGGTCAGGAGCAGGACATGGTCAGCACTTGAGCCATTTTGGGCAGGTCTGCACCTTGGTATTGCTGCTTCCTGTGTGTTGTTGCAGTAGGATTCTCTCCTCTGGCACCTTTGCATGGCATTGGGCAGCATGGCATGCACAGGTACTAACTTGGGCACAGCAAGCTTGTGTAACCATGTCACCAATTAATCTGTTTAACCCTGTCCCTGCCCCAGCCCTCTTGGATCAGGTGGTTTCTAGGGCAGGAGCTGGCTCCTTTAGGGTTAAGCTGACTGTCTCTAGCAGTGCTGCCCTGTGGGATGTGGTCAGTGAGTCCTGGAATACCAAAGGTGGTCTGGCACCACCAGCCTACTTGTTTTTTGTGGGGTAGAGTGAGGTGATTTTGTTACATGTTCAAATGCCCACTGTACAGTTACTGTACTGTGACCTTTGCATTAAGGTGTAATTCTAGAGAGAGTAATTCTAGAGTAGGGTTAGAGACAGTTAAAGTTATAATCTGTGCAATGTGGAGGCTGAACTAGTTCCTACTTCAGCCTGAAATAGTAAGCTAAATTCCTCCTCTCAGTTTATTTACAGGTGTCTGTTAAGCATTTTAAAGTGAATGTTCAAAGTTAGCCAGTCTCCCCTAAAGCTTTTTTTTTTTCCACTTTGTTTGATTGCAAACACACTTTACCATATGCTCAGATTGAGATAAGCATTAGAGGTGGACTCAGTCAGTGATCCTTGTGAGTCCCTTCCAACTCAGAATATTCTGTGAAATTTTCTGTGTTGTTGTTTGAGTGTGGAGAATTCACTTCTCAGTGCAGTGTGACTTTTGGTGAGCGTTGTGATTGAATGACAACAGTCTGTGATTTAAATCATAAAATAATTGTGGGGATGTAGGTACAGGGAAGAATCTCTGTGAAATGTCGTAACTTGGTTATTCTTGGGGAAAAAAATATCACTTTCAAACCTCCCTGCTAAATTTCTAAATTCAGAGCATTTGTGAGGGCTTCCTTTTCCCAGTGCAGCACTCGGCAGGGGTTGTGTAGGAACCTGACTTATTATAGAGTGTGTTTATTTATTATAATTTTTATATACTTTCAGATAGCAAATGGGTTGGTGCAAACTACTGGCTGGCCGAGTGTCGTTACATGTATTGGCAACTGGTTTGGAAAAGGAAGGTAAATCATATGTTATCCAGACTTTTGGAAGTACAGATCAATACATTCTGGGCTGTAATACAGCCCATTTAAATATCTTTTTCTGTTTCTGCGTTTTTTGGGGACGAAAAAGCAGTTAAGTAGAACTTTGAGAGGAGCTTCCTTTGTTACACTGATTAGTTTGTATATGGGTTTGAAATGTTCTCCCTCATGTCAAACCGGTGTTCTCTGGTAGCTCTTTAGTCTGACACTTAGTTTTTCAGCTGAAATATTTCAGAATTGAATTAGAATAATCCTTGCAAATATTAACAGTCTAAAACTACTTTCAGTACAGGCTGTTATTATGCCATTTTAATGTGGAATTTCCCATGTTTTCATTTGTGTTTCCAAACAGTTGTCAGGGTGTAACTGTAAAAAGTATCTGTCTAATATCCTTTTTTTCTAACACACTTACATAAACTTAAAAATTCAGGTTAAAAAGGAAAATATGTATGGCAGCTGATTTAACTTTTCTTTTTGTCACTTTTCTTTAAATCATCTATTTGGGTTTTTTATCTTAATCCTGCTCAGAGGTCACTTTTAGTGTTTATTTTGTCACACCACCATACAGTAGTTTTCCATAAATTTTACAGGAGTTGCTTGGTAAATCCACTGGTTCTGATAATGGTTGGTGGATGTAGCACATAATAATGCTACTGTAGTACCATCCTTTGTAGATAAATACCATAAAAGAGCATTGTTGTCTGTCAATTCCAGAGGATATACAAAAGTTAAATATATGCTTTCTATATAAAATCACAGAATAGTTGTGAAAATGTAGGTTCAGGCTGGTTTTCTGTGGTCCCTGCAGCCTTTTAGGTGAATGTTACAAAATGGAGAGAATAACTGTCATACAGTACTGAACAAAATTGATGAGTCTGCAAAATAAATACATTTATTCAGGATTTACTTTGCACAAAAGCAAGAGCCTTTTCTTTTAGGAGGCCACAGAGTGGACTGGTGGGTAGGGCTCTTGTTTGAATGTCAGTGTTCTGGTTCTTGTTCTCATTTTTCCACAAATTTCATGAAAATGTGGGCTGACCTGTTAGATCTTTAGCCCAAGGAAAAGACTGGGCTTTGTTCAAGTTAGGTTGCTCCATGTAAATTGCTGAGGACAAGGCAGTTTTCCCATGTGGAAGAACAAGGAGGGGGAAAAAAAACCACCCTGCTGTCATGACTTCAGTAGGATTTCTGTGGTTTACATTAGCTGAGCTGGAGCTAATCTGGGATTTCCAGGCAGACAGCAGCCTGATGTGTGTGTTAGCCAAGCTTGCACAGGTGTCATCTTCTGCTAGTGCCCAACAAGTCCAGAATGTGACCAGAAAATACTGAATTTGCTCCACATATCCTGTACAGGTTGTTTTCTTCTGCATGATAAGTCTGCCATGTCCTGAAAGCATCAGATTATCAGGGCAACGTGTTTGCAGGAGGATTTTCATTCCCAAAAGCATCAGACTTCATGTCCACATGCTACAAAACATCTCTATACTTGTTTTAATCAAAAAAACTCTGTCTAGAAACATGCAAGCCCTGATGGTGTCTTTAAATCCCATTAAATGCAGGATGAGTTTTGTGATGCACAGAGAAGTATTTTACAACACTTTTATTAATATTTAGGTGCCTTGAAATTGCCAGATGGAGACTGTAGCGTAAAGAAACGATCAGTTAAAGAACCATAAGATTGCAAATATTGAAATATTTCAGTAACAGCACAGATGAACAGCTATTTTTGATACACTTGTCTCGATCCAATAATTCTTGTAATAAGAAAAGTTTGTGGGTCGTTGTTTGTTTTTGTTTTGGTGTTTTTTAATGCAGGAGAGGTTTGATCATGGGAATCTGGAATTCACACACTTCAGTGGGAAATATCTTGGGATCCTTAATTGCTGCTTACTGGGTGTCCACGTGCTGGGGTCTCTCCTTCGTGGTGCCCGGAGTCATCGTTGCTGTGATGGGGATTGTTTGCTTCCTGTTTCTCATTGAACGTGAGTGCTTCAGAGGGACAGAACCATGGGGGAGCTTGTTATGGGTGAGGAACACCAGCTGCTTAAGAATAATTTAGGTTGGAAAAGACCACTAAGATCAAGTCCAGCTTTTGATCAATCACCACCTTGTCAGCCGGACCAGAGCACTGAGTGGCATGTCCAGTTGTTCCTTGAATACCTCCAGGGGTGGGGACTCCACCACCTCCATGGGCAGCCCCTTCTGATGTCTGACAACCCTTTCCATAAAGAAATTCTCCCTGATGTCCAGCCTGACCCTCTCGTGGCACAGCTGTAGGCCATTGAGGCCATTTCCTCTCATCCTGTCCCTTGTTCCCCAGGAGCAGAGCCTGACCCCCTCCCTGGTTTCACCCTCCTGTCAGGAGGTTGCAGAGAGCAAGGGGGTCCCCCCTGAGCCTCCTTTTCTCCAGGTTGAACTCCCCCACCTCCCTCATCTGCTCCTCATGGCTTATTCTTCAGACCCTTCCCCAGCTCTGTTGCCCAGAATGACTCCAGCACACTTCAGAATTGAGTCCACCACCCTGTTATTAGTTCCCAGTCTTGATAAATTGTTCAAGTGTATCTTAGCAGAACGTCCCACCTGGCTGCAGTGTGTGTTCTGTGCTACCATTCAACCCATGCCATCCATCTTCTGTGCTGTGAAATACAGAAGTCAGCTGGTAGAGCAGGTTGTGACACTTTAAATCAGAAGTTAAAGAGGAATGCCCCATCTTGTCCCTATGAAGACTCAGAGATATGAATGCTTATTTTACTATAACTGTCCTATCTCAGCAAGTAGAGAGTTCTGTAGAGATAACTAGAATTCTGTAAAAAGAGCAAGACTGCCAAAATAGCCCTTGTTATTTGTACTGTTGGTTTGTTGTCAGTAAATTACACTGTTTGAAAGTGTTTTAAGAGATCTTTGTTAGGCTTCTTTTCACTGTTAACTATATGTGGTGTTGTATTTCAGATCCTAAGGATGTGAGTTGCTCCTGCACACCATCCAGTGTAAGTGAATGCTTTTTCTCTTTTGATTTTTGCCTCCTAATACACGTTTATTAGGATAGTTCTGGAAATCAGTCCGTGTGGCCCTGTTGTGCCAGGCTGTTGTAACTGATCCTGTTCTTGAGGGAATGATTTGTCTGTGCTTCAGTGATAAACCAGAACCTTATTTTCTCTCAAAGCAAGTGAATCAAGAGGTAAATTAATTTGTTTTAAATAAAATTTTGGAAGAGATGATCTTACAACAGTAAAACAGGAAAACCTGTTCATTTCTTTTTTTTTTTTCCCTTGAGTTTTCTTACTTTCCTCCAGTCTTCCTGGGCATCTTCATGGCATTTTGTGCCATCTCCTGCTGTTGCCTCCCTTGCTTAGGTATGGCATAGTGAGATTACTGCCAACTGTATCCTGGAAAAGGTCTCACTGGGAACCCTGTGTGAGGCTTTGCAGAAAGAGCAAACAGCCCTTCTGCTGACACAGGGTCAAGGAAGCATGTGTCTGTGGGCTTGGGATGGGTGGTGGGATGTTCCCTGGGATAGAGGAAGGGGACAGTGGGAGCACATGAGTAGGGAAAACCAAGGGATGGATATAAAGCTGAATTGAAGAGATTGGAGCAGTCAGTTTGTGACAGTGAGTTTAACCGTGTAGCATTTATTTATCTAAAACTCAAATTAATGAGGAAATGTGAAAAGGAGAGAGAAAAAAATCTGTGCTAAGTTTTAGGAATCATATGACAGATGGATGCTTTAGTTTTGTGGCATCCCAGAATAATTTAGATTGAATCAGGACCTCTGAACATTGTAGAAGCCTACAAGAAGGATGGAAGAGAGACTATTTACAAGAGCATGTAGTAACAGAACAAGGAGGAATGGTTTTAAACTGGAAGAGAGTAGATTTAGATTAGATATTGGGAAGAAATTCTTCCCTATGAGGGTTGTGAGGCCCTGGCACAGGGTACCCTGAGAAACTGTGACTGCCCCATCCCTGGAAGTGTTCAAGACCAAGTTGGGGGCTCTGAGCAACCTGGGCTAGTGGGAGGTGTCCCTGCCCATGGCAGGGGGTGGGACTGGATGATCTTTGTTCCCTTCCAACCCAGGCCATTCTGTGATTCTGTGGTTCTATCCTCTGCTCACAGCAGGTCTAAATTTGACATAGGATCAAATTGCTTAGGTCTGGCCTGCTAAAATTTGAAATCCTCAAGGATGGTGCTGCTGTTTATACGTAGATGTTTGGGAGTTTTTTAGAATGCATTGATCCCACGCTTCACTGGCATCAAGGGGATCTTGCTATTTATTGTATGAGAGCTTATACTTCAGGGGCTTAAATTTTGTCAAGGTTGGGAACTTCACTAGGTTGTAAATACACCGTCACACACAAGTTGTGTAACACATGTTGCTGTATCACAGGGGAAGATGTGACTCTCCTGACACAGTGGTTTGAAAGTCCACATCAGAGATTGACCTCTTAAGGCATTGTTGAAGCAGGATTAAAATGCATGTGTGCAAATGTCTTAAGCTTTTTTTTGGATTGCTGAACATTGTATGTGTATTTTTGTGTGCCATTGTGGCAGCAAAACTCATAACTATTTAAATCGTTTCTAAAAGGAAAGCTTTCTCTTCCAAGTGCCTTCCATAAGATTGTTCAAACATTAGAAGTAGGTTGGAACTGGTTAAGCTCTGTTACCAAGATATTTGCTCAGTGCTTTTGAAACAAAAATTCACAGGATGTTTATGTGCTCAAAATTAAGTATTCTAGGAAGTCGTGTCAATGGCAGAAAGATGTGCCTTGGAAATATTTAATTAAAATGAGAAGATGATTGTTTCCTTTCTTGCCTCACGTAGCTGTGACCCAAGAAGAGGGAGGCAGTCAAAATAGAATGAGAGAAGAATAAAAAGCAAGGAAAGGGAACAGAAAAGAGAGCATTAGGAAGACCAGCTGTGCATAACTTCTCATAACAGAATATCATTCATAGCCAAGTTTTGTTTAGGAGTGTATTTAGAGGTTCATCTTGTTTCGTGTTCCCTAAGGCTCTGGTATGTGTTTGTCTCTACTGTAACCACAACCTAGAACAGCTCTTGCCCCAGCCTTCTGTTCCTTTGGCTTCCAGGAGCCTGTGGGCAATCTGGTCTGCCATGTTTTCAGCTGTTTCCTTGGAAGAATAGTAGGGATGATTGGCAGGGAAGGTCTTAGGGTTTCCTAGGTTTGAGGGCAAATCAGGGCTATTGGGGGAAATGTCGGAGGGGAGGTCCCAAGGGAATCCCAGATGGAAATTATCTGTACATGTGAACTATACCTTTTATTTGCAAGTCTCACAAGTAGGTTGTACAGGGATGGTTACTGGTTTTTTACCACCCCCCTCCAATATTTTCAGATAGTTGTTGGTTTTTTTTTTACATTTTAAATGCTCTTGAATAGTAACTGAAGGTAATGTTTTTAGTCTGTTATCTCTTCTTTACCGGATAATGGTTTTTTTCTCCTCATATGAAGTACTCCTGATAAATCTTCTGAATACTTTCAGTGGTCTGGGGAACTCCTGTTCTTAGTTTTTTACTGTGAGATAAGGTGGGATCACAGTGCATTCTCTATTTTTCATTTAATTCTCTTTCATTTCTCAAAGGTAGCTTCTGTCAAGTATGAGAGTATTTTAAGTGACTCTCATTGCCTCCTGTTAGGAGTGTCTCTTTTTTTCCTTAGCTTTTATGTAGTTCAGGAGCACTTAGAGGCTCATGTTTACAGAATTTGCTGTTAAGCCTCATGGAAGCATTTGTTTCAAATACACGTTGAGTGGAAAGCACAACTAAAGAGCTCTGCACAATATATTGCTCATGTGTCTCAAGGAGCTGGTATGGAAAATTTTGACATTGAATATCTGTTTGCCGTGATATTTCTAACAAAAAAATTAGCATTTTAGGCGCTTTTCCCCCCTTCTACTCACCACTTTTTCCCTCAGTCCCAGAAAAGGACTAGCATTTGGCCTCATCTTCTTTAGGGCACCTGCAGGATCACTGCTCCAGGAACAGTCTTATTGCGTGGGATGCATTTGACCTTCAGTTTTCCTGGAAACCTTGCCCTCCAGAGCTAAAGGCATCACTTCTTCCTTCCCTGTTCCCGTTTCACATCTGGAAATCTTGTGGGAGGTTTATAAAAATACTTCCCCACCTGCCTTGGACCCTTTTCAGATTAAGATTCACCACTGTCTTTGGAAACTGTATCCTATTTGAACTGCTCAAATACTTCTCTTTGGACCTGTGTGGTCTGCAAGGATTCCACATCCTTAGTGAATGGATTTAGCTCACAACCTCTGTTCACTGCAGGAGGGTGGTTTTAGAAATTAGGGAAATTAATAAGGTCAGAGTAGAAGTTCACGATCTCCTCCAAATGCAGGTGTGCTAATGACAGTGTCTGACTGTAAAGAAAACTGATTGCTAATTGAAGGAAGGTTCATGTAGTAAAAGACTGTGTTAATCCTGGGAACAGAATATTTCAGCTGTGTTGCACAAGGGTTGGAATTTGTCAGGCATAAAATGCTTGCTGACCTTTTTTTGCTCGGTCATTTCAGTGTCAACCTGAGCAACGGTTGTGGTTTTGCAAATGGTTAGAAATCTTTTTTTCCTTTTTTTTTTTTTGAGACACTAAAGAAACATTCACACTTGCTCTTCTCATCAGGCTGTAGTAGGTAATTTTGGACAGATGCCTTGGTTAGGTGCAGGCAGCTCTGCTGGCTGGTGCTAAAAACCAAACCTCATTGTGGAAGAATGAGGCCAGTTAAATTTAAGCACCACTAAAATAAATGCTCAGCTTGAGGGGAGGACTTTAGTGTAGATTTATATTAAGATCCAGAGGTCAGGTTCCTCTCTGTGTGCTATCACTATCCTGGATGAATTTGGTCTACTGTTTATTTGCAACATGATCATGAGCCCAGTATTTCTACCGAGTTTGTAGTGGTGAGTAATCTAATTTCATTGAGTTGTCCAAAATTACAGAAGGCAAGGCAGGCACAGAGCCCTGAATGTGTGGTTCTTATTCTTTATCCACTGGTTTCCTGGGCTGTGCTTCATTTGCTTGTATTCATCTTGGCTCTGATTCATCAATCTGAAATTTGTTTCCAAGTAAACACTTAAGTGCAGTGAAGGGCTTTTAAATCCCCGCATTGGAGGCTTAATCTTTGACTTTCTGAACGGCTGTAGCTGTGACAAATGAAAGTGAGAAGCCAGTGTGATTTATTCAGCATTGCTGCACTTCCATCATGAAAGTTAAAGAGGAGGTTTAACAGCATTTGGGTAATGTGGTGATTTAGAACTGGTTTTATTGCTTCTCATTTTCTCCCTGGAGCTTTTTTTTTCCCCGTAGTTACATCCTGTTCATTCAGACCTGTCTTAATGCTCTAGGAACTTCCTTTATCTTGGCTTTGCATTCCCAGGAAACTTAGCTCTCTTAAACTCCTGTTGAAAAGTGCTTGTGCACTTAAGAATTACCGTGCTGCAATTTTTACTTTCTGAAAAGGAGAAATAAGTCCCAAGTATTAAATGTGCAGCCTCTCAGTCTAGTCCTTTTCCCCAGACATTTTCTCCTTACCACAGTAAATCTTACTTTTTGACAGTCAAATGAAAAAGTGATTCATTTTTCCTGTGCTGAGCTGCTGATTAAAGATGTAGATGACTTGTCTCTAGATAATGGGTTTTCTTCCCTGTGGATCATTGTAGATCACTTTTTTGATAAGAGCCAGATTTTTTTGTAAGATAAAATTTAAAAATCTGTTTTATCAGAGCCTTAGGGGCTTGAGTGTTGTTGGTTTATTTTGAGGAATTTGTACCCAAGACTGCTGGTGCCTCAGCTCTGTATTGAGCAGCAGAAATACTTCAGTTTATCCTCAAAAATTTTTTGCCTTCTTAGAAGGATTTGAGTGATGAATGGCAGTTTGCCTAAGGAGTACTGCATTACATATCTTTGTATTTTTGTTGGGGAAGAATAACCCAGCAATTAATTTGGAATTAGAATGTTCAGGGAGGTTCTGCATTCTTTTTTCATTCGTGATGGTGAACTCAAGGGGTCGGGGGTGCGTTATTTGGGGCAGAGTTCGTGGCGGTTTTTATTGTTTTATTTTGGGGTTTTTGGTTGGGTTTTTTTAATGTGGCATCAAGTGTGTGATTAGACACTAAAAAAATCATCTCACACCTGAGGAGTGCACAATGCTTCTTTTGGACTTAGCAATAGGTTGTCCATACCTGGCTGCAAATCTGCTTTAAAGCTGTATGTTTAATTGAGCAGACAAACCTTAATGTCCCTGGTAAACCTTCTTAGACCAAAGATCACAAATTGTTTTCCATGGAGTGCAATTTTGTTGTGAACTGTTACACTAATTCACTTGTTGATAAATAAGTGTAAAGAGCAGGTCCCTCTAGTACCTAAAATGTAGCTTTATTGCCTTGATTTTTCTACTGGATGTGCTGGAGTTGCTTAGGCTCTTCATTAACACTCCTGTCCACAAGTCCATTTCTGGGTTAAAAGAATATAGTGCTGCAGAATATTATCTACAGGGATAAACTTTAATCTTAAAGGGATAGGAAAGTGAAGAACCACGGTTTTCCTGAAACAAATCTACTCCTGTGGTTGCTGCTGGGATCATCTGCATATGAGAAAAAAAACTGTTTGTAATGTAAGTTCAGTAGAGAAAAAAGCAGCCAAAGATGTTAAGAATGGCATGACTGTGCTCTGAAGTCATTGTGCTGCTTCTATCTAAAACCAGCCTTCAGATAAATTTGTGATTGCATTTTATGTACGTTGCCGTAGGTCTGCTTAAGAACTTTGAGAACTCAAAATACACAGTCATTAAATTAAAGATGTTCCATTTGGGGTTATGCTTATGTTACAATGCACAAAAACTTGTTGCAGAGAAACGGTTGACACTAATGTCATCTTTCAAAAAACAAGCAACAGAAGTATGGAGTTGTTTTGTTTTGTTTTTCAGAGTTCTAAAACCTTCCTGAATGGTACCTCTCGGTGCAGAATCCAGATACCGACCTTAAATGCTAAGGAAAATGGCAAACCTCAGGTAAAATATAACATACTGTTGTAAAATAGCATAGAAGGCTTCCTAAGGCTCATGTGGAACATTTACAGTAGATTTACTGTTGGTGAAGATTGCTCCTCCTTTTATGATGCTGAAATCTCCTTCCATCTTCGTACACAAATGTAATTTCAGTCGAGGGAACTAAGCATTACCTGACATAAATACTGCTCATTTCCTGACATAAATGCTGCTGACAGAGCTGAATGAGATGGCATGCTCGCTCAGTTGGTCTTTTCTTGTAATCTTGACACAATTCCAGCAATGCACTGAAAAATATTTTAGATATAGCCCACTTGAAATATTTAAACTGTGTATATCGTGTTTGTCCCGTCCTTGCAGTCTCACTTCTTTCCCTTTTGAATGCAACAGCTTTATGTACTTCCAAGATTATACATGGAGATGGATATTTCTGAAAATGAACAATTGTTCAGAAAAATTTTGCTCAAAACTTGGAACCTTAAGTGCTGATAATTCTCAGCAGACACTGGATTTTGGACTTGCTGGTTGATGAGCAAAAAGATATTTTGTGTTGTGGTGGACATTAACTGAAAATTTCCATTTGAAATTTTGTATTTGTATTCAGTACACTTGGTATATTGTATCCTGAGAGGAAAACTTTTTTTTTTTCCCTCCCAACTTCTTTCAGACTTTTCCAGGAAAATAGAAGCTTCCTGTTCCATTCATCCTTTGCCCAAAGAATAGTAATGAGTATTCACAGGGTACAATAATCAGTGCTGGTAAAAAGGTTTTGAAATTTTTGCTGAGGCAACACTTCACTCATCATTTTGATCAGTCCAGCTTCAACTCCCTCTCTACTGAGTTTTTCATTTTCATTTTGAGCTGCTTAAGAACAGTCTCCACCCCAGAAACCATTTGTCAGGATTATTTCCCAACCAGCTGGAAGATAAGGGGAGATATAAGAATATCAGCAGGTGACTATATTTTAACTCTGTCATCATGACTTAGAATCATGGTTGAGAATGGTTTGTGTTGGAAGGGACCTTAAAGATGATCTCATTCCAACCCCCTGCCATGGGCAGGGACACCTTCCACTAGCCCAGGTTGCTCAGAGCCCCATCCAGCCTGGCCTTGGACACTTCCAGGGATGGGGCAGCCACAGCTTCTCTGGGCAACCTCTTCTAGTGCCTCACCACTCTCACAGGGCAGGATTTCTTCTGCAAATTCCCACTTGCTGGCAGCCTTTGCAATGTTCTCCCCCCATCCTCTCTCCACGCTGCCGGCTGGGTTATACGCTTGTAATGCGGAGTCTTAACGAGGTTTAAAAAGAAATGAATAAAAGAATTAAAAATCCTTGTTCGTCACTCTTTGGGACTTCCTGATTTTCTACCAGTGACAGAAGAACATCTTTTTCCTGTCAAAAGCAGAGCTGAACATCTTTCCTTTTCACAGTGGTTGTGTTGCAGTTGTGTGGAGCTGATTCTCACAGTCAGCTTTTGAGCCTGTACAAACAGCAGATGTTTTGCATTTATGAGTTGGTCTCCAAGCACACTAGAATGGCAGCTTTTACTGGGTTTTTATTGACCTCTGCAATTACTGTAAAAAGAAAGCAAATACTCAGGATCTGCAGTGATTGAAAGCAGAATGTGTTTTTGGCTGCGTGACCTGAATACCTCTGTGCATTCATTGCTGCTTATGTTAGGTTGGCCTCTTAAAAATTACACAAAATTGAGGGATAATGAATCCTTCCCCAGAGATCAAAAGTGTGCCATATGCCTAATCATGCTCTATGACAAGCTGGCAAGGCTGTACAGTGTTAACTCTGCCAAGCACAAACTGCTGGTTTTATTTATCATTTAGTTATTTGCAGCATAAAAATCCCATATTGTCGACAGAAATTTCCAGCATGAGTTAAATAAGTTTTTTTTGGACTTTAGTCACTTCTGCTTCAATATTTAACCCACTCTTTCAAAATAGATTTGGAACTCCTTGTCTGAGAAGTGAGCAGCATTGCCTCAGACAATGCTGGCTAAGTTTACTGTGCAGATTGTGCACTTAGACACTTACCTGGAAGTGTCTTCCAGTGAATCCAGGGGGAGCTTCACTGCTCAAACCCTTGTTTTTCTCCTCTCTCTCTCTCTCTCACTCTTATGTTTTTTAAGTGTTAATAGCTGATGGTTTGAATTGCTAAATCCAAAATTCAGTTGCTAAATGACTACGTTAAAATAGTTCAAGTTTTGAAGTTGCTCCAGTAATTCAGAAGATAAATACTGATGATGATGATGGAGTAACTCATGTACCATGAACAGTTTACAGTGCCATGTCAAAGCTCCCTAGATGTTTTTGCTGTCTTCCACTTAATACTTCATCAGGGTACAGGGTCTCCTGTATATCCTGTATCCTATCTACAAATCATGTAGAGAATTTTGGATGCTGCATGGTGTCTTCTAAAATTATGCTGTGTCTGGGCTGAGGTGTGCAGATGGTTCCTTAGTGCCTTCTCCTAAATAATGTTCTTTAAAAACAGAACTTATTTAGAAACACAGAGTGTAAAATAGCAGAATTTAATTTTTCCAACACTTTTTTTTCTCCTTTCCTCCTCCATCAACTTGCCAAATGTTAACCAGAAAGTTTTAACCTTTGTAATAAATACTGGAAATTGAATGGCCTGTTGTTTTATCCTTCCTAACCAGCAGTCAGAGATACATTTGAGGCTTAATTCTTTGCTGAGGCTTTATTCAAATGCTGAAGAATTAGGAGGAAGAAGACAGTATGTAGAATACATAGCTAGGAAAAGTGCACAGCCAGGTAAAGCTTCTCAGTGAGCAGGTGAAAGTGAGGATAGCTACGTCCCATCCTTTTTCTGAGTTGGAAAAGAGGTACTGAGGGCTATTTATACCTGAAATTTCTTTTTCCTGTGTACAGCTGTAAGATGTAAATTTCCAGTTCTATTCTGAGTTTGTTTCAGTGTGGTGGATGGATAAAAATAACATATTACCCTCATGGCTACAGTGGGATGGCTTGTTCTTGTTGAGTGGTAACTTGCTCCACAAGTATTCTTAGCAGCCAGTGGAATTCTTGGGGTAAAATTCTTTCTAGTGCTAAAAAAGGACTCAGAATTCACAAGTTAGGTAATGTTGGTACATTCCAGGCTTTTATAATTTGGGAATTGCAATGCTCAAATGAAACAGAGGTGAAAAAATAAGCTATTTCTTAACATAAAACACTCAGTTTCCATAATTCAATTTGAAAGATGGCTTGTATTTAAATAGATGAATAAGATGGTGTTGCAGAGTCTGAAAAATGGGCTTAATATTTGCACAGAAGGAAGATAACATATGCTTTATACGGAAATGTGTTGTAGTATTCAGTAGATTGTCAGCTTTCATTAGACCACATTTATGTAGTGGGGTAAGGGACACCTGGAAACTGTTTTATTCCACCAAATGTACTCTAATATGTGAAATTGTTCCACAATAGAAGAGAAACATGACTCCATAATAGAGTGTATGCACTCAAACATAAACAACTAGAATTATTTCACCTGATATTCTGTATATACTCTCTTTGTATCTACTCTGCATATTGAAATCAAGGTATTTTTAAAAGCTGTAACTTTCTGTGATAAAATTCATACTTGTTTTTTAAAATTATTTTGGAATTACTTGATTTCTTTGTACACATATTCTGATTCTTTGTTCTTTTCTCTCTCACGTGGTTGCTGGGGGAAACAGCAGGATCCAGAGATGCAGCACTTACTTACTGACAGTGAAAACTGCAGCGTGTCCCTGAATTCCAGCACTGTGGTCAGTGGGGAAGGAAGACATGGCACATCAGCAATCAGCTTCCTTGGGGCCTTGAGAATACCTGTGAGTACTTGTGCTGTTCCTCTGAGAATTAAGTGTTGCCTCAGAATTCATATTTCTGTGAAGATCTGGATGGAGTGGTAGGGGATATATTAACTTTACATCACGGTCTTGGAATGCTGAGGGCTTTGGGCTTGTCTAGTTTGGAGGAAAGGAGGCTGAGGGGCAAACTCATTGCTCCCTACAGCTTCCTGAGGAGGGAGGTGGAGAGGGAGGTGCTGATCTCTCTCTGTCAGTGTTTGGCATTTGGACAATGCGTTTATTAATGTGCTTTAACTTCTGTCAGCCCTGAAGTGGTCAGGCAGTTGGACTTGATGGCTGCTGTAGGTCAACTGAAATAGTCTGTTCCATTCTAAAGTCTCTTCTAAAAGTTTACTGGTCTGTCTTAATGACATGTGGGTGCTAAGGACGGAATAACAGACTGAATCTATAAGCACTTCTTGTCAGAACTTCCTTCCATGGCTTCCCTTTTTACGTTCTTCAACATTGTTTTTAAAAGCTTCAGTTTCATAATCTCTTGTGTGAGAAGTTTCAAACAACCCGAAAATTTGGGCTGCTGGTAAAGGAAAAGAAGTTTTCTTTAGGTCAGAACTTGTCACACTTGATTGTCCTCTCAGACAGAAGCCTAAAAGCTTCAGTGGGATGCAGAAAAATTAATAATTGGAAATTAATTTGGACCACGTATAAAAAGTAGAGGAGGAAATACCCAGTACTCAACCACTATATTCCTAGATCTTCTCATCCTTTCCAGTCTGGTCCTCAACTGTTTTTTCCTGTGGTAAAGTGGAAGTAATGGGTAGAAAGATTGCTGCTGCTGCCACCTGGAATCTCAGAGCCTCTGTGGTATTTTTACTGCCTGCTGTTGGGAAGGGTCACAGCTCCATGTGGAGCAGAGCCAACTCTGTGTGTGTGCTGTTCCTGAGATTAACTGCAGCCCTCCATACCAGGGGTTTAAGAAATGTTTTCAAACAGGAAGTTATCAGATGGTGAGGGGAATGAAGATAGGTTAATTTGGCAGTTTAGTTGCAGCTCTGTGCAGTAAATACACTTTTATGTTCTCAGCAGGAAAGAGGATGGAGCGAGTCAGTGTCTAAAATATGTCATTGCCCTGTGTGCTCTTGCCACATACTGATTTGAACTGTGTCACACTGGCTTACTGGCTTTGTACAAAGAGCTGAACAATAGGGAAGAAATCTTGTGCCCATCTGAAGGAAGGATCTAAAAAGCACAAAAAGATGCCAGTTGCTCTGGAATACACTCCAAACCCGCTGTAATGCTGTATAACAACTCTTTACACAAGGAAAATAAGTGATGCAAGTGTCCCAAACAGTATCAAATCCTTCGCCTTCATTTTAGTGTTCTCTCCTCAGGTCATTCTGTACCATTTTAGTGTTTTCAGTCAATTCAGTACAATTAGAAAAAGAGAAAAAAAACCAAATGAAATACCGCAGTCTGCTTTTTGTGTTCTCAGGGGAAGAATGCTTCTTGGGAATTCTTGAGAGAAAAAGAAAAGCCTAAATGCTTCTTTAGAAACCATTTTCATAATGACCTTTGAAAGTAAATAGCTCTGTCAAGATACTAACTTCCTATTTTCTTTATTCTTTCAGGGAGTTGTAGAGTTCTCCCTTTGTCTTCTGTTTGCAAAACTAGTGAGCTACACTTTCCTCTTCTGGCTTCCCCTCTATATCACAAGTGTAGGTAAGTATCACAATAAAGGGATACAGAATTATGACTACAAAGTGTCTGGGAATACAAGCTCGAAATAAAGAAGAAAATAAACATTACTGCTTCTGAAAGAGGCTTTCTCTGCTGCAGTAGCAGGAGTGTTGTAAGTCACCAACTAACATATTTCTCAGGTTTATGAATTCAGTATTTCAAGAGGGCATTTTCAAAAGAAACAAACAAAAGAATCTGGCTTATCATCAACAATTCGGGGCATAAATGCTGCATCTTTGGCTTTTGCAAACAAATCAAAAAGGCTTATTTTCTAAAAATGCTTTTCATTATTGGAGTGTCTTATTCAAATCTGTACAAAACAATCTAAATTAACTTATTTATCTGTTCAGTACTGCTGTTTTGGTTTTTTGTACTTTAGAGTGCAGAGAAAGGAGTTCTCCCTAACCAGAGAAATTCATGTTCTTGTGAGCCATGATGGGACCTTTAAACCCCCAGAACAGAAAAGATGTGCTGGACAAGTATGGCAGGAACAACCAGCAAAGAGAGACAGGTTGAACACCCTGTGAAAGCACAAAGTGCTGCAAATCCTGCAGCTGAAACCTCTTATGTGTGGACCAAAGGCAGTGATTCTGCAGGACTGGGTACCTTGAGAGCAGTGGGCTTTTAGGAGAAAGGTTAATGATGTTTACCTTGGTACTGTTGTCTGTGTTGTGGCAGATGTTGGTGAGGTTATGGTGGTGCCCCTGACCCTTCTGCCTTAGCACATACTACTTTGTCAGTTGTATTGCAGAGGCTTCAAAAAAAAAGGTGGATTTTAGAAATTCAGCTCCTTTTGAAAGTTCACACTTAATAGGACTGGATTGCCCAACTTCCTGATGTACTTTTGGGAATCTGACCCTGTTAGCAAATCAATAGATACATTAGGTTAAATATAAGTGTGTGCTCAGTGGTTGTCAGTGCCCCTGGCAAACTGTGGAGTTGAGGAAGTCCCTGTGTCTTTGCAGTCCCCTGGAACTGCACAGTGCAAGTTGTGCCAAGCTATAATTTAATGATGGATATTACAGGTCATATGGTGGAGGCCTCCAGTATGAGGCTCTGTAAGTGATCCAAATCTACATTAATCATGCTTTTAGAGCAAAGAACCTCATTTGTGAGTGTTTGTTACTGTTTATGTGGTTATTCACAAACAGGAAACTTGTTAGGCCAGACTTCAGCATGGATACAGTCCAAGCACTGTTGAGGGCCACCAACACAACTGAGCTCTTGGGTGACATCAAGATCAGAGGCAGCCTGGGCTGCAGTGATGATTCACTGGTGGAGTTCACAGTCCTGAGGGATCTGGGTCAGGCAAAGGGTAAAGTCAGGGCTATGAGTTTTAAGAAAGCAAACTCCAGCTGCTCAAGGAGTTGATCAATAGAACCCCCCAGGAAACTGCCCTCAGGGACGAGCAGAACGGAGCTGGCAGATCTTTGAGGATGCTTTCCACAGAGCACAAGAGCTCCTGGTCCTCAGGTGTAAGAAATCAGGAAGGGAAGGCAAGAGACCATTGTGGCTGAGCTGAGACCTGTTGGTCAAACTACAGGGCAAGGAGGAAATGCACATGTGGCAGTGGAAGGCAGGACAGGTATCCTGAGCAGAGCATAGGGGCACTGCCCAGTTGTGTAGGGATGAGGACAGGGAGGCCGAGGTGCAGCTGGAGTTGAACTTGACAAGGCACTCAAAGAGTAGCAAGAAGGGTTTCTACAGGTATGTCACCCAAGAAAGAAAGGTCAAAGTGTACGTCCTCCTCCACCCCCTACTCATGAGCAAGACTGACAAACTGGTGACAGTGGATGAGAAGAAGGCTCAGAGAGGTAGGTGCTGGTGGATGAGAGGCTGGACATGAGCCAGCCATGTGCACTGGCAGCCCAGAACCACCTGTATCCTGGGCTGCATCAAAACCAGTGTGGGGAGCAGGGTGAGGGAGGGGATTCTACCCCTCTACTCTCATGAGGCCCCACCTGCAGAGCTGCCTCCAGCTCTGGGGTCCCCAGCACAGGAAGGACATGGAGCTATTGGAGCTGGTCCAGAGGAGGCACCAAGATGATCAGAGGGATGGAGCAGCTCTGCTGTGAAGGCAGGCTGAGAGAGTTGGGGTTGTTCAGCCTGGAGAAGAGAATGCTGTGGGGAGACCTTATTGCTGCCTTTCAGTACTTAAAGAAGCACTGAATAAGTACTTCTTACAGGAAAGATGGACCAGAATTTTAGCAGGGCCTATTGCAATAGGACAAAGGGTAATGATTTTAAACTAAAAGAAGGTAGATTTGGAATAAATATAAAGAAGAAATTTTTTACAATGAGAGTAGTAAAGCACTGGAACAGGTTGTCCAGAAAGGTGGTGGATGTCTCATTCCTGGAAACATTCAAGGTCAGGTCGGGAACAACCTGATCTAGCTGAAGATGTCCTTGCTCACTGCAGGGGTTTGGACTGGATGACCCTTAAAGGTCTCTTCTAACCCAGATCATTCTATAATTCCATGATTATAAAAGTGATAAAATATCTCTTGCAGTGAATGTAATTGCATTCAAAAAACTATGTTGCTGAATATCCACTTAGATATATTTCTCTTGCACAATGTCACCTTGTGGCAGCTTATTCCTGTGAATAAACAACCTTGCTGTAAGATGCCTTTGCCCTGACATGACAAGACTGTGGTGAGATTTCTGTCTTTTGTAATCTAGAAATGATACAAATGTTTTGCTTCCCTCACTAGAGCATCTTGATGCCAAAAGAGCTGGGGACCTTTCTACATTGTTTGATGTGGGTGGAATCTTTGGTAAGTTTTAATACTCATATTTTACCTTTATTCACACCAGTTTGGGAAAAACTCTGGTACACACAGATTACATATATTATAATATAGTCTTTGTGCTTGGTGTCCACTGAAGAAGAGTGGCAGTAAAGGTGCTGAGCTGAGGGCTGTGTTGGGTAGTAAAATATCTTCAGAGCCAATTATATCGTCCAGTACAAATTGTAATAGTCAAATATTATGGAATAATAGCTCCATCAGCTCTGGCTCATGAGTCTGGGTCATACCACCTATCAAAATATCTTCCTTTTACCACTCTAACAAAACAAATTGTACATTGTGTATTTTCTGTGGGCACAGAGATGATTTGCCACAGGTGTTTTGTTTTTTTTTTAATTATGACTGCATGTGATAAAATTGGGAGATTGTAATAATAATAAGGATGAGGCCATTCCTTTCTAATTTGTGAGGTGACCAATGAATAATTAAATTTTGATGCTAGTGTAGACTGTGTAGCTCACAGTAAAACAAATATCATCATCCTGAAGCCTGGTTGACTGAGCACACACACCCATCCTCTCTCCACTTCCCCCACTTCCCTTGTGGAAGTAAACCTTGTATCAGTCCATTGGAAAATAATGCTCATGACAGAGAAGTTTCCCTGGATCAAGAGCTAAGTAGATCCTGGTAGTTCAAGATGTTGGTGTCCAGGTGTGTTGCAGTTTCTGTTCCAGTCTTGTGCTGGGTGTGACTTCTGCCATTTTTCACTGCTTCTTTCATCCCAGAGAGCAAATAGCCAGAGTGGGTAGTACCTTAGAGATGTGGGTGATGTCTTTCAGCAGCATCTGATTCTGCTGTGAACACAAGCTTAACAACCTGCCTGTGCAGCTTGGACCTCTTACGTTTATATTTAAATTCAAGTAGGATGTGAGCCCTTTGTAGATGGGCAGCTGGGAAGGGAGGGGCAGGCCCAGGGTGACATTTAGGAATCTGGAGAATCCAGAGACCTTCCTTTCCTTCTCCCTATACCAAGTTCCCTTTATATAATTTTGGCAGCTCCTTCCCTCAGGCCTTGCAGCCCCCTCCAGCCACACACTCCCATTGGTACAATGTGTACAGTTGTTGGCAAACACAAGAAGTAGGGAAAATTAAAGAGCTTGGATTGACTACCTGGAGAGAAAACCACATATTTCATTTGCCCCAAGATACAGAATAGCTCATTTCCTGTGGTCAAAGTGTGACAAAGACATCAAACTTGAGAACTTGAAGGAGTTTAAGAGACCAGTGAGTAGCTGGGCACAGCTGGATTCCAGAACACCAGCACTGGGGCCATGACCTGCCAAAAAGGCTTTTTGCCTTGGATATTTTGTTGGAATAAACAATTAAGAAGAACAATAGTCTGCTTCTGTTATCTTCAAGTCATAACTGGTTGGGTTAATGAGGATTTTGCTGTGTGAATTATGTTGTCAGGCTCACATGCTGTGCTGCTGTGTATAACTGTAGAGTAAAAGTCATTGGGTTGTGTTGCATTGAGTATAACTGATGTCTTTTGTGTAAAACAGGCACTGAATGTTTTCTTCACACACCTGTGTGTTCTTCCAGGTGGAATTTTGGCAGGTCTCATTTCAGACAGGCTGGAGAAGAGGGCATCAACCTGTGGGATGATGTTATTGCTCGCAGCACCCACGGTAAGAGATTGCCCCTCTCAGCTGTGGCTGAGACTGTGACAGCATTCCTTGGACAGTCCTGCAGGCAGCATCTTCTAACTTGGATATGAAGAATTCAGGCCAGATTAAAGAATGGCATGGAAAGTTGAGCCAGGAATAGACATTGGGACTGCCTTTACTAAACAACCAAATAAGTTTAGTGTATTGTTTGTCATAGATTATATGGAATCTTTCACTGTGTTGTGAAAGTAGATGTGTAGTTCTTAGCCAGAATTTTAGCTGCTCAGAGGCTAAAATTTCTGTGCTGTAGCTCTTGGAAAACTGGCAGTCATACACAGGAGATGCATTTTTCTTTTATTCTTTTGTGAGCACTGTTCTGTGCTGTGTTGAAGCTGCAATTGGAGAGTTTAAAACTGAGTGGTCTCATAACACAGCCCTTCCTTCTGACAGGACATACTGGGGAATAGGATCATACCCCTTTTCTCCCTCCTGTATCCAATCCAACAATCATTCTGCTGTGGTCTAAAAGGATTTAGTCAAACCTGGAACTAGCTTTCATGTAATACCAGCTAAAATATTTTGTAATTAACATGGGGAAAATAGGGAACCTGGTATTAGTCTGTGTTGATATTCAGAATGCTCATTTTTCTGGCTTCACAGTTGTACATGTTCTCTACAGTCAGTAAAATGGGACTTGAGGCTACTGTGGGTGAGTATTTTTAAATTATTCTGCCTAACTTTCTGTGAACTTTTAATTTATGTTCCTTTGGTGCTCTTTCCTTTTTTATTTTATCTTTTCCCTTAGAGGAGGAAGTTTGGAAGCAAGTTCCTTTTACTTGGTCTTGCAGGCTTTTTACAGGGTAAAGGGAGGAGATAGGAAGTGAGTAAAGGTTGGCATGAAAACAGTGATTTAGTTCATATAATTAGTCTTCTTTCTGGAGCTTGTTGTGTCAGCTTAGGCTTTTTATTATATTCCCTATGCCAAATGTCAGAGGTGTTTAAAGACTACTTGTAGTACTTTTGACAGCAATATTTACTTGGATAGGCTAAATTCACTTTTGGTTTTCCATCTCTTACCTCAAAGCAGAAATTAAAACACAAGTACAGACAGAAGTGTCTCCCCTGCTACTGTACAAGCAGAAAGGGGGCTTATGGGTGTATCCTCTGAATAACCCTGCTCTTGCAGTCAGTTTGGTCAAATTGTCCCCTTTCTCTGACCTACCAGGATCAATAAAGGCCCTGGGAAGTGCTTTTTGTCTCAGCCTCGTCTTCTGTTGTGTTTGAGAATTCACACCATGAAATAAAGCATTGAAGAGAGGGAGGAATATATGTTGGTTTTGTTCCTTTCCCAATTCTGTAATGGGGTCAGGGGAGCCAAAGATGGATTAAACCATTTGGGAGCCATAGGCTGTGATGTCTCCTGTTAACAGTCTTTCAGGCAACTCAGATTTTCCATTTTTTTTTAACTTTCTACAGTGATGCTGCTTATCAGTGGTGCCCTGGTGAATGGCCCTTATGCCCTGATCACCACTGCTGTCTCTGCTGACTTGGTGAGTTTGGCTTCCACTCCGTTTCCCTGTAGCAGTTTGGCCTCCAGAGAGAGCCCTTTGACTTCTGCAGGGTCAACAGGGAAGAGGCTGCATTGTCCCAGAGCAAAGGAGCTGGATAGGCAGTGCTGAACTCCCACTGAGATTGTTTTAGTTTGTGTATTAATGTGAAGGAGTGCCATGCTTGTGAGAGGCCTCTAAATTATTCTTGACCACTAACAAGGCAGCAAACCTGGTAGATGACAGCCCAACACGAACATGAAGGTTCCATGCAAAGCCAGGCCTCTGTACAGATGCCTTCTCCCTTTTTGTACTTTATATCTTTAAATGAGGGGAGGAGCTGTACCTGTGTGAGAGATGAGCTTGTGACTTAATTCCTATCAGGGAAGAAAGCTATACCTGCCACAGACCTTTACAAAAGTATATAAAAATAAAAAGTCAAGATTCACGTGGTGCCCTCAGCCCTGCAGTTACTCAGGCTACCAGCACTTCAGGTGGATCAGGTCACAGATGCCATGTGAAAACATCAACCCTGCTGCTGTTCATCAGGGAGGCTTTGGAAGGTGTTGGTTCCTTAAGGCACCAAGCAAGAAGCAGAAGTCCTCTAACAAATGTGCTAAATACAGGAAAAGGAGTAGGGCAGAAATCTCTGGAGCCCTGTCATTGGGCTTGGAGGTCTTGGCAATACCGAGGTGGCCACAGTGCATTGCCCATTTTGTCCTTGTTGAAGGAGCTGCTGGCTGGAAGGTCGGGCCTGACTCTGCTGGATATTTAAACCATCTTCACAACATGTATCTAATGTGGAGGGGTGTGAGCTGGTTGATGTTGCAAGGACTTTCTTCAGAGTTCAACTTAGGAGGGTCTAAGCCATCTTTGTCACTTCAGGGTACCCACAAAAGCCTGAAAGGGAACGCAAGAGCCTTGTCCACAGTGACGGCGATCATCGATGGAACTGGATCTGTAGGTAAGCCAGAGCCAAAGATCACCTGCCTTGGCTGGGGTAGGTTAAAACTAAGGATCTTTGACAAACTGGGCTCTCACTTCAGCTCACATTTTGCCAGGACTCAGAACAGCTTTGAAAATGGGGAATGGCACAGACTTGGCCCGAAACCTCTAGTGGTCCCACACCTGAGGGTGGGAGGAAGAGGGTGTTGGACTGATACTGGGCATAGACAGTAACAGTAGATGCCACTGGGTTGTTTCTAGGATCAGGGATATTTTATTCATGCCCTCTGCACTGGTATGTGGAAGGGAAAATTGAGTAACATTCGGCTTAATACTAGATGATCATTTTGTTGAGCCAAGGGCAGACATTTATCACACATTTAGCCTTCCAGCTTCCCTGGGTTAGGTTTCCCTTTGGCTTGCATCTGTACCAGTAGTGTTTTGCACTTTCTGGGACCTTTTAATACATAAGGTAGTACTGAGTTAACTAGAATCATAGAACATACTGAGTTGGAAGGGACCCATCAGGATCATGGAGTCCAACTCCTGGCGCCCCAAAAATCCCACCACGTACCTGAAAGCATTGTCCAAACACTTCTTGAACTCTGTCAGGCTTGGTGCTATGACCACTTCCCTGGGGAGCCTGTTCCAGTGCCCAGTCACCCTCTGGGGGGAAAAAACATTTCCTGATATCTAACCTAAACTAGGTGGGAAAATTGATACTCTAACTCAGAGTAACTATTTCAGTATAGTACATCTTATATTGCACAGCTTGACAACACCAATACTGTATTTTAGGTGCAGCTTTGGGGCCTCTCTTGGCTGGTCTTATTTCCCCATCTGGTTGGAACAACGTGTTTTACATGCTCATGGTGGCAGATGCGTGTGCCTTGCTAGTAAGTCTACAAATATTATTTAGTGGCTGTGTATTCCCTCTGTGCAAAACTATCCCAAAATGCAAGTTTTCCCTTTGCAATTTCAATACTCCATCTTCTGTGAAACGTCCATTGTGTAGGAAACTTTCAATTAAAGAGCAAATCTGCTCGTTTCGAAATTCTCATCTAATTTTAATCAAAAGCGCAGATTTAGGTCTGATGCAGTTCCTGAGCAACAGGAATTAACAGCTGTTAATTGCTGGCTGAGCAGCTTCCAGCAGGCTTAGTTGTAAATAAACTTTCATATCCAGACCTAGAAGTTGTCTCAGATTCCCCTCACGGCAGAAGGACTTCTGTTTTCTTGAAAGGAGGTTGAGCAAAGCGGTAACAAATGTTCTCCTGCCTTGCTGTATCCCCAAAATCACCGCTATAATGAAGCTGATGAAAGTTAATACATCACATTTTCCAGATGGGCCCTAAGACTGCTGTATTAGGTTAGATGAAAAACTGGCATCCTAACTTTTGACAGTAACCAGGAGCAGATGTTTAGGGGAAAGGAGTGGAGCGCGCACGTGGTGGTGGCTTGGTTCAAAGCACATCCATTTTCCTTTTTTTTTCCTCCTGAGATCCTGTGTGCTTGAGAGAAAGATCTGAAGAGAGGTTTGGGTTGGGTTTGTCTCGTTTCTGACTCGCTCTGCTCTGCTTTTAAAGACCGAGGCAAGCACAAAAAGAGGCAAGGCAAGTCTTGCTGTACCTTTGAAGTCAGTCTTGCTGCACCCACCTGTAGGTCACGTTTTTGTGTGTTCCAGAGATTCCCCTGGCAGGTGTCTGTACCTGCTTTGTTCTCCCCCAGACCAGAGTCATGCCGTGAACTACCTCAGAGGTGTCCTGAAGTGTCACCTGCTTCTCCTCTCCTTTGAAATCCTGGGTGGAAGTGCTCTTGAAAGGACAGGGTGACTGTGAAACACTCCCAGGAACTGATGCTGAGAGTGTCAGACTGCTCCTTCCTGACATGAGAAAGTCTTGCTTTGAGTTACAGTTGAGGCTTTTTTTTTTTTTCCTAAATTCAAATTAACCCCAAAAATTTTAAAGTAATTTTTTCACATTTAGGGTGTGAAATCTCTGGAAATTCAGTAAATAGATTAGGTAAGTTAATAGCTGATGTATTTTGCCACATTGGTAGTCAGCAGCCTGATAAATCCTGGTTTGTGCTGTTTTCAGTATTAGGTATTTCATGCTGCAGAGTGAGGTTTTGGAGCTTATTGTAGTTCTCCCAAATAGACCTAAAGCTCTGTTGTTTTTTTTTTTTTATAGTTATTGATTAAAACCAAGTAAAAATAAAAAAACCACCAGGTTTCTTTGCAGAATCAATTAAAACACCACATTTCTTTGCAAAATCAATTAAAACACCTTTGCAAAGCTCTGTTCTTGAGAGGTTTGACCCAGCTGTTGTAATAAATCCTTTTTTGTGTAACTTTTGTTCTGGTTTTCCTGTCCTTTGCAGTACAGCGTGAAGATGCCTGTGTTCAAATGTTATTTCTTCAAGGGAACCTAGAGGGGCTTTAGTCTCTTACGTGGTGTTCAGTTCTGTCATTCTTGGCCACTTCTGTACCTCTAAAATGTTAGGTTTAACTTCTTCAAACACTAATACTTAGAATAGTGAAGAAACTTCTATTTTATAACAGTGAGAGTCTGAGGATAATGTAACCTGAAACAGTGAGGAACCCTGAAAGTTCTATTTCTGTCTTTCGAGTACGTGAGAATCAGCAATTTTAGTCACTTTGCTGGTACTATCTTAGTAGTCCTTTTAAAGTGCACTTGAAATTCCTGATCCAGCACAGACACACCAACTTGGCTCATCTTGACTAACTGTGTAATTAAAGCCTTTCACACACAGAGTTGTTTTTCCAAATAACAGTTAAAATACTTTTATGCTCCAAAATTTCTATCTGCCATGTTTTCTTGAAGTCTTGGGTTCCCTCTGCTGGTTTCTTTACATGTTTGCCAGAAAACCATTCTGATTTTTTTTATGAAAAAATTGATCTCTTAGTTGCAGAAAGAAAATTACTTTCCTCTTGGCTATTCATTGTGAAAACTCCTCCTCCAAACATTGACTGAGCATCTGTAAATCTTTGAATTTTTTATTATTTTTTTTTTTTAAACTGAGTTAAACATTACAGGGTAATATTTCAAATGAGAAACTCTTCAAGTAACAATGAACATCTTATCCTGAAATAAGTTGCTTATCTTATTTGTTTGTCTGTTTATAGATACTAACACAGATGCTGTGATTGTTTTTGCAGCTCTTACTCCGTCTTATTCAGAAGGAGCTTCAGTGTGATGCAGATCACACCCTGTAAGTGCTATGTATTGCTGTTGCTTGTTAATAATGGTTTAAAACATGTTGCTGATCCTTTCATATATAATCAGTAAGGTTGGGAAAGACCTCCAAGACCATCAAGTCCAACCTCTGCCTTGTAATGCATAACCTAGACTGAAAATGTTACAGTTCATGTTATGTCTGGGTTAATTTTGCTTCAAAAGGATAATCCCAGTTTGATGTTTTCAAATCATGAACAGTTTTCTTCAGAACGTCTTTTAAAAATATCTGAAAACACACCTCTGTCACAGTCTCTTGGTTATGGTGTATTTTTTCCTGGGTTTCATCCTGCAGGTGGGGAATAAACCCCTCTATTCCTTGGTCTGTGTTTAATAATAGTTTCAGATGCACATTTTTCCAAAAGGTCCCCTTAAAGAAAAGGGTGACTCTGAATTTACAGTGGTTTGAAAGGAGGGGGAAAAAAAATCCACTGAATCAGTGGGGTTATGCCTGCAGATGCAAAATCTAAATTGAGCCCCTTGTTTGCAGTTTTGGAGAAGTAAAATGGAGAGAGAATAGAAAACACATGGCAGGGGATGGATCATGAACTCTGGAGTTGGTGGCTGTTATGCCTCACACCTCAACCTTTCCTGCCTGGCTTGTTCTTTCCCAGGTTTAAAGAGCACTGAGCTACACGAGCAGAGCTGGAATAAGGACTGTGCCAGTGGTCGGAGCTCTTCCCTGAAATCCAGACTTCATGGGATGTATTATGCTGTGTTTAAGAGATTCTGTTTGGTGAAGAACTTTGCACCATTACTGGAAGCAGTGTGAGAAATGCAGCTGGTAACTCCCTGAAGCTCTTTATTTTTGCACATGAGTAAGTACCTCAGGATGGCAACTATTCATCAGACAAAGAGATGGGAACTTTGGGAAGGTTTTAGCAGCACGCCTCAACTGAGCCAAAGAGAAATACCAAGTGCCTTTTTTGTTTCTTTTGATAGGATGTTTTTAATTAAACTTATGAACTGTGTTTTTGCCAAAAATCAAGGCTAAACTAGAGCAGAAGGAAGCTGAAGTTGTACCAGCCCGACGTGGCTGTCCCAGTGTCAGTGAGCGAAGTGTGTGTTTCTTTTGTCATCTTGTGTCCATTGAGGGCATCTCTTTACAGAGGACAATATCAGCTGGTTATTAAGATATGCTGCTATTAGTATTTTGAAACTGCTCAGACAGTAGCCACCCACTGTATTATTAGTTTTTAACTACAGTACTACTTCCCAAGGACAACATCCAGCCTTTTGGTAGGCAATGAAATGGAGTTTACTCTTGCCATGTACTGCAGTTAGCAGTTTTCACAGAATCTCTGGATGAGTGTTAGTCCTCAGTTAGGATTGTGCAAAGAAAAAAAAAAAAAAAGGAGTCCTAAGCAACAAAAAGCAGCTTATGAGTCAGAATTTCCAGTGGGGGCTCTAATGATTTTCAGGGCATTATAAACTGGCTGTGCAAACGTCACATAATTGTCTGCCAGGCTGGGCTGAAATGAGAGGTGGTTTCTTGTGAACTGTGAGCTGTCCTTTTTGTTACAGCACTTGTGGCTTGAGCAGATGAGCTGCCTCAGTGCCCACTTGCCACAGGGATCTCTGTTGGGTACTCGTGATTTCCGTGCTGGGGTGCGCATGTGGAAGTTGCAGATCAGGGCCTTAATATCCAGAAATGTCTCTCAAGTGGCTCATTTCCATTGGCTCTGAATTTCAGATTTGGAGCCGAAATATCAGAAAAATTACCTGTGTGGGCAGTAGTTTGTGAGAGAACATTTGAGTAACTAGTGTTACCAAGCAAATAGATGGTTTAATGTCTTCAGAACATACAATTTCTTTGTACAGCTGCTTTGCAAACATATGTTTCTGTGATTCTTTTCTTTTTTAAGATGTATAAAGTGAAGAGAAATCCTTTTTGTATGAGGTGTTTATACTTAAATCACAAAGGCTAGATAATTTAAACCATGTGTTGTCCTTAACTGTATTTATTAAAGCTCTAGGAATATGTCTTGTTCTGAACTATGCTCTTAAGTTCTGTGAAACAGTGCAGCAGTCTTTACACTTGATCAACAGAACACTCTAAAATAGTCCTGCAGAAATGTCTCATCAGCTGCTGGTGGTGTGTTCCATGTGCTGGCACAACACCTAATTTCCAGGGCTGTAATTTTGTAGTTGCTGAGTCTTTTGAGTCGCTTCACTGGTTTGATTCAGCACCTGATTTATGCTTGACTTGAACACTGTAAGAAGGTGCTCGTTTTTAACTGTTTTGCTGAACGGAGATAGAAGGAAAACCTCAGTGCCACAGGGCCTTAAGGAAAGTATTGGGTCCTTGCAGAGGAACTGTAGGTAGGCCCTGTCCCTGCACTTACCTGGATGAATGGTTGACTTCACACATTTTGGGTAAGCCTGTTCAGACCACTGGGGAAGGTCTCAGCATCTGAATGCATGAATCTGGGCTGTACTCGGGCTTTGGGCTGCAGTTAAATGTGAAGGAATTCTGCAGCAATGTTACTTGAAAGGACTTCTATCCCAGTGGACTGAACCAGCAGAGCTTTATATTTTTATTGAAACAATTCAAACCCTGCTGCGCTCAGATTTTGAGAAGCTGTTCCCTGTGGGCTGAGGTCTTAGTTTAAAAAGCTTTTGGTTGTATTTTGCAGTTACAGGCTGTAAAGATACTTAACTGTGTTTTGGGTTTTACTTGTTGGGGCTGCTGCTGTTATTTATTTATTTATTTGAGTAGCTTTTGCACTTCAGTGACTGGGGTAGGGGTTAATGACGAAGCTGGAGGTGCTGGGCTGAAGCCTTCCTTGCATCGATTGTAGGCAGGAATTGGGACTCTCAGTCTGCCCATGTCTCCTTCCATGTCAATCTGCAGCATTTTGGTTCCTCCCAGCTACAAAATTGCTGGACAAAAAGATAAAGATCTGCTTTTCATTCTTGAAAACTATAAAGGTCCCCCAGGTTGTGGATAAACAGTGTGTTCTGTTAGTATTGGGTGTCAATATTCATTGATCTGTAAATGAGCAAGACCAACAAAAGTTGTGTGTGTAGAAATGTGAGTGACCAGTAGGTACAACCAAATTTAAATATCACTACAGGGTTCGTTTGTTGTTTTTTAATGCTGGTTATTGTGAATTTTATCCTTTACCAACCTGTGTTGAATAAAAACAGATTCTATTCTAAAATGAGAAGTGATGACTACTTTATCTTTTACATCTCCATGAAGAAATGCTCCATTTATTGGCCGGAAGGACAGATATCCCTGCTGGGACAGCAATTCTGTCCCTTGTGAGAGTAATGAAAATGGCTCATTAGGAGAACAAATTAGAACGTTTTGTTGTAAAATCAGTGCCCTTCTTAGTTTCAACATGTAATTTATTTTCATTTTGTGGAACTGTGGCTTGTACAACATCAGTATTTCCAATCAGCTGCATCAGATGGGTATATTCTACTTGCTTTGCTGTAGCAGGGAAGGAGATAACTTGCCTGAGTCCACCTTGACACATAGTTTTAAGGTGACTTTTTTGGTTGTCTGCTTGGCTTGCTCTTCAGTATATATGGAATTGAAATTGAAAAGCTTCACCCTTTCTCTCTTACTCTAATCACCCTGAGTATTTGTTGTTTTGATTCTGTTAGGATGTCTGATGGGGTTTGTGTGTCTCTGCCTGAGATAAAATGTCCAAACGACAGATACCCTGGGGAAAAACTGATTGGAAAGGAAAACAGTTTCTGGTTACAGAATTTCTGATCTAAATTGCCTGAAGGGCCTTCCAGGAACAGGCAAGTAATAGCTGGTGTACCTTCTAAAAGAAGGGAGACCAGAGTCCCATTTTTTTTCTGCCTCATTGGGAACAGGAGCCTCCAGCGGGTGCTTGGACCTTTGGGAACACTCCAGCTGTTGCCAAATACATGTCAGTGGAGGTTTGTCCCTACTGTGTGTAGGAAGGGTTTATATAGGGTGGGAAAAAGAAAAATAGGTAGCAGGGAAGGTGGTGCTGTGTTCACAGGTTGCTTTGAGACTCCTTTTGCCTGTAAGTTAAACTGCTAACCCACTGCATGCACTAAGATAGACCTACTGCTCAGTGTTTTGTCAGTTAGGAAATTCCAGGAGGGATTCTATTATCCATTTCAGGAGGTTATTGTATTTGCTTCTGGCATAATATCCTTAGAATAACAACTGGGATCCACCAGTATGTTTGTGCCAATGTTGTGCTGCCTCTGACTTTGGCTGACCTCCTCGTGTTTTTAGGCTTGGGAATCTGTTGGGTTGCTGTTGGTAGGTTTCTCCAGTGACAAATGTTTGTGTGAGAAGTGCTGCCGAAAACTAGGCAGGTGTAAGATGGTGTAAATGAAATCAGAGGATGTTTAGAGCTGTTGGAGGCTGCTGGTTTTCATACGGAATTAATTTGGGGAAGATTGTTTGCAATTCTGTCAAATGATGAGGCCTGGAGTCAGTAATGGTGGTGTTTTATGGTCTGAATGAAATTTTGTGGCCTGTATATTAAGTAAATAGTTAGATGAGATTATTTCATGATTTGTCCCAACCTCTGACAGGATATTCTGGTTGCTGACCTACATCACTTTCACCTTAGAGCGAGTCTGGTTTGATTTTTGTTTTGCTCTCTGCTGAAGCAGCCACATGATGGCAGGGACACGTCCTGCCGTGCCTGGGGAGGGACTGCAGACCCCGCTGAGGGGGCTGTGTCTGTGTCCTCTGGGGCTCTGGGAACCTTGAACTACATTTGCTGAGTTAAAAATCTGACTGTCATCCCTACAGCTGGGGAGAGGGAAGGGGAAGATTGAGCTGCTGGCGTGCTTCAGTCTCGTGCCCAATGACCTTAACGTTGTGTTTTGTGTCTCACTGCCTGAGTTTAATAAACTGGCTTGTTACAAAATGTTAGTTGTTTCCTTCTTTGTCTCCCTTCTTTTGGTTAGTTTCCAGTTTGGAATAAGGAGATAATTAGTTGCTGTGTGGGGTTTGTTTTTACTTTTTATCCTTTGTGTTTCCGCTGTATACCAGTTACCCTTTGGCTGCTGTGAAACATTCACAGCTGGTAAATTGCGAATACAAAAGCCAAACTTTCTTTAGGCATGTTCCAAGAACCTGCTCATCTCCTGCAGTAGGAGATCAGCTACAAAAATGTGTCCAAAGTCTCTTTGGATGCTGTACTTAGGGTTTATCTCTCTCCTCCTCTTACAGCTGTCAAATATTTACCCTCTTTTTCACAATATTCCCTTTGGTCCAGTTGTTTGTTTCAGCAGAGGGGGGACACTAAACTGACTTCACGTACTGCCATGTAAGTATAAGCACTCCAAGGCTGGAGTTATTTTCAGTTTATCTGCTACCTAAATCCTAAACAGGTGGTCTGAATTTCTTGGGTTGTTCAGAAACCAGCGGCAGCTTCTTGTGCTGAGGCCAGAACTCGAAGCAGCAGCCTGAGTTCACGTGCTGAAACAAAGTGATCAGCAATTTCTGAGTTCTCACCTCTTTTTGTGATACAGTATGGGCAACCCATCAGAGCTAAATTACATACAGGCAAAACTTTTGGAAGGAATGAGTTTCTTCTGAATTTTTCTACCAACACAGTGATGTTATTTCTGCTGCAAGGACGGAGTATTATATTCGAGTCTGAGTCACCCAATTTCACCACAGGCCACACGAGGCTTCAGCTTAATAAGTACAGCAGGTTCTGAATCTTATTCTTAAATTGCTCTGATCATCTGGTTGGAAACAGCTGAATGTTGTATTGTTCTGTGGCACAGTCTGCAGGTTTAGTTTTATACCAGTAGGTAACAATGGGATTCAATTTAGCCGTCGCTGTTAGAAGTCTTTATAAAGCTTCTTCTCCCTTTTCCTCTGGCTTCAGCTTTCATGGTACATGGCAGGAAGAAAGTGTGGTAACAAAGAACCTGAGAGGTCACAAAAAAATATCAAAAGCATATTCTCTCTTCCAAATTTTGCTCGCTTGCTTGGCACCAAGGGAAATCCACTGCCACAGCTGTTTCGCGTGTCTGTCTGCAAAAAAGGTGGCTGAAAGTAGAGGAAAATAGAACCTTCTGATTTCCTTGCTCTGATTTTTACAGTGGCAGTTCTCAAAATAGGGGGTCACCAGCCCAAAAAGGCAGAACTGAGTGGACTGACAAATCCAGGGTGCAGGCAGAGAAGCCCAAGAATGGTTGGTTCAGGACTAATAGCTGTATTAGATTAGACAAAATAAATTGCCATGCAGTTCCCTGTCAGGCAAATGATGAGACTCTAAACTTATCCCATACGTCAGCAAATAATCTTTTGAGGAGGATGAAATCCCTCTCCAGCAAAGCACCTAGAAATGGTGCTGGAAAGGATGAAATAACCTGAGCATCTGAGACAGAACTAACACATGCAGTTCTCAGAACAATTTTCCCTGTCATTTGAAATGAGACCTCTCAGTAGAAATGTTTCAGATGATGTAAGCCTTACAGTAACAGGGAAAACAAAGCTCCTGTGTTTGTCCTGCTTGAAATCATCTAATAAAATAATGCATCTGTCAAAGCAGCATTTAAATGTCATTCCTGTGTGTCATCAGAAAGGAAATGTTATTCTGAAATGCAGACTGGTTCCTGTACACAATTTTTTCAGACTTCCCAGACCCATAAAAGCAGTCAACATGGATGATTAGCAGCTCTGGTAGAGTCACCTTATGCATCCCTGGAAACATCAGGAGCTGCCTTCTATAAGTTGTTTTTGCTGTCTGTTGTTCAAGCACAGTTGAAATTGCCCTCATAAATGGGTTCTGCTGGGAAAAACAACAACAAACAGCACCATGATAAACTACCTCGCTAGTCTGATTTTTTTTTTTAAGCCAAAAAAAAAAAAAAAGGATCTAGTGCTGGGTGACTTTCCAGCAAGTTTAGTATTCTGTGGCGTGAATCTCTTTTCAAGCAAGTTTGTCCAGTTAATTACCTTGTGAATTACAATTTGATTCACCCAGAGTCAAATCCTGGATCGTTTTGGAGCAGGCAGCCTTTGCTGGGCTCTGCCTGGCACAGGAATCCAGGCTGCCTGCTCAGCTGATGCTCCCTGGGGGGATGTGCTGGGCTGGGATGCCAAGGGCAGGATGCTTTCACAAAGTGATCCTTGATGATGGATTTTGTGTCTTGGGAGGACTCTACCGAGTTTAAACCTTTAGAATGAGAAGCAGAGCTGGTTGCTGAAGGCTCTCAAGGGATCCTGGCAAAAGAAACACAGGGCAGATGCACCTGGGGAGCAGCAGTGGCAGCACTGGGGAGAAACTGGACTCCAAAAGCACGGGGAGCAGTAGTGTAGTGTTGGGATGTGCTAATCTTGTAGGAGGTTTGGGTATCCTCATGGAGGACTCAGTGGAAATTCCTAAAATTAATATTCAGCAATGCAGGAACAGCAGGCAATGGTGGTGTTTGTTGCAATATGATGCTGTAGCACACCAGCAGTATTTAATTCATGGAGCCACCACATGTCTCAGGGGGGTGTGTGTGTGTTTGGAGAGCGGGAAGGAAACGTGTTCATAGTGCATGTCATGCCTTAAAGCTTTGTAGAGCCTCTCACAGACATGGAATGTGCACACAGACGTGGACACACAAACCAGGCACCTGCTGAAGAGCAGCTCCTCTTCTTCAAACACAGCTCCAGTCTCGGTGGCTCGCTCTGGGAACGTGGTGTGTTTGGGTGGGAGGAGGGGAGAGGGGTGTGCAGAAGGAAAGCAGGCCAAAAGCACCATTTTATTAAGTGAAACAAAGTGGTGTGTTGCCTTTGGCTCTCTCCCCCTGGCGCGAGGGTCAAGCTCCAAAGCAAACAGGGCTCGGTCTGTCTGCAGGGATCCTGCTTTGTTGGTGAGTGATTCCAGCTCTGTGGCTCTGCTGCTGTGCCTTGGGCAGGAGGATGTACTGCTGGCTGGGGGGCTGGATGGCAAATTGCAGGGAGGTGTCACCCCGTGGGTGAAGTGGGACTGGGGGAAGAACGTGGAGCCCTTTCAACCGTGGCAGGTGAGGCACTGAGGCAGAGAGTGGGGAACAGAGCAGAGGTCAGAGGAGATGGTGGTGATGGAAGAGCAGCAGGAGGGAAAAAAAGAGTCACACAAAGGTGTGTGGGATTGGAGAGACAAGCTGCACACAACGCTGTACCCTTCTTAGTGGAGGGCTCCTGGTTTTTTACTTTATTTCTCTGTGTTTA